GGTTTTCTTTGCTTTATGTCTAAAAACCACTTATGAGTGAGTACATACGATATTTGTCTTTTGGGGTCTGGGTTATCTCACTCAATATGATGTTTTCTAGCTCCATCCATTTGCCTGCAGATTTCAAGATGTCATTATTTTTACCGCTGTGTAGTGCTCTATTGTGTAAATGTACCACATTTTCCTTATCCATTCTTTGGTCGAGGGGCCTTTAGGTTGTTTCCAGGTTCTAGCTATTACAAATAATGCTGCTATGAACATAGTTGAGCACATATCCTTGTGGTACAATTGAGCATCCTTTGGGTATATACCCAAAGCCTGATAGCTTTTAGTTGCATGATATGTCTTAAAAGATACTGGTTTTTGAGAAGAGATTACAGGATTTAGCCCTTTAAAGACGTCCATGAACGTATTCCTTCTCACTCAGAACTAGAGATCAGAAAAGGATCATTGATTGACATCTGAGTGCAGATGTTATCACCACTTACACAGCTGGCCCTGATTCTGAATTCTTTACCACTTTTGCTTGCTGTGGCCAGAGGAATCCCTGACCATGTGAGGATTCAAGTTCCTTTAATCTGAAAGAACTCATAATAGTGCCTCTGAAGCTTTTAAATGTGAACTTTGTAGTAGAATAATAGCCATTACCAGGATAGAAATGTATTTTGGGGGAAGTTTTTATTAGGAATATGGGTAGCTCCTAATTGAATTTTAAAAATGGAAGTCTTGATTAGTTAGAAATCAACGATGAAATTGTAGGAGTTTAAAAATACCTACAACTAAATTGGTAACGAACCTAAACTATTGGTGATTTTCTTTTCAATTAAAAAACAAGCTTGATCATCAAAACCCATGAGTAGGTAAAGATGGCATGATTTAACTAGCAATAGTATTTCTTGAAAATTACTATTCTAATAACTTCTGAGAATCAAATGTGGTAACATTGCTAGTTGCAGTAACCAGACTTAGTTCTCGAATACAGATATAAGTCCATCATATATTTTGATAATGTTCGTTTAGCACTTATTCATATGTAGCCTTATGGATCAAAGGACAATTGTGTTTTCTTTCTTAAGTGATTTGTATGCAGAGACTTGTCCCATTTTTAAAAAGAGAAGTATTATTTAAATGGCTGATCTGGTGATCACAAACTTTTAGTGAGCATTGTTTCCCTGTGAAGGGCCTGGTTTGAAGTTCACTGCGTATCTTTACTTCTGGACATCTCGTAGCCTTTGTAATGCTAATGTACTTTCGCTAATCTGATTGGATACGGTTTGCAGTTTCTCAAACCCATTTCCCAACAAAACTTCCCTGTTTTTAGGTTTAACCTTAACTACAGATTCAGAAGCCTTCTGAAGAAAGTAATGTAAGAAAAGCGTAGTATACCTGTGAGGCAGGGAGTGAGAGCAGTTTCCTGCTTTAAGGTTACATAGAAGTCTTTCGATGTGATAATCATAATGAGTCATAGCCTTTTGCAGTTATGAATGTATTTGCAGAATACAATTTTGTCACCATGTTTTGAAAATTTAGCTTTGTGAATAGAATTTAGTATACTTTAGTTAGACTGTACAAGATATATGATTATTAATTTGACTCAGTTTGGGGTCATGTAGTATGCATGTAATGTTTAGGGTTAAAGTGTATATTTTTTTAAAAAAAACATCAACTTAAGCTCAGTATTTTAAAAATATTAATCATGAAATATGTTGTGGACAGTATACAATCTTCATGACTTTTTAAGCAAAAGAGAATATTTTAGTTTTTTTGTAGACTTGGCAAGGTTTGAAAGCTTCATCTTTGGTAACACAAAGTATTAGTATACCTTTTTTAGTATACCTTGTGTATCAAATGCTTTTATTTCTCGTAAGCTAAAAATATAAAGATAAAAAATTCTTAATATGAAAACATTTTTATTAAGGTAAGGAATAAATACAGCCCAGTCATTTGTCTATAAAGTAGTTTATCTAAAACAAAATTACATGTGACTGACTTAATGGGCAAGTTTCTTCAAAGGATTCTCTCCCTGAAATGGAATTGAGTATGTTTTTCCAAGTGGTAAAAATGATCCCCACTTCCCCACTCACTCGGTGACTAAACTCATTATTAGGACTTGTTTGCATTTTATATTTTGGAGATTTCTTTCCACTCACTATCCTATTTTTTTTTTATCATACTGTATAGCCAGGAATACAGCCTTTTTCTGTAGGTTTTATAACAATTACCAGGATAGGCCTTAAACTTACAAACAGGAGCAAAAGAAAATGGATAATATTGAAAACCTTTCAATTTTTATAAGCATATAATTTTAGTGCCATAAAATTGATACTAACTCTCTGGTGTAGTATAAATAATTCTTTTATTATTGAGACAGGGTCTAAGCATCTAAAAATTTTCAGGATAGTAAGATCCTAGAAGCATTTTAGTTCTTGTGAAAGTGCTGTGCTTATAGAAGGACATTGGTGTACAAAATGGTCATGTAACTATACAACATGTATAATCTAATGGACAAGAACTAATCTAATGGACATTGAGATTCCTTACTACCAAGTACCTTAGATATTAGGGGTGTAGAATACAGATATTGCTGTATCAGTGCAGTGTAGGCAAACAGAGTGGCTATTATATGTACTTCAATGGATGCTTACAACAGAGTTGGACACTAGCATCTTTTATTGAGAAAAGAAATGTTATCCAAGATGCTAGAGCTATTCTTTTGTCTGTGGAAAACTGCCTGATAAGCTTTAATTTTTGAGAAAAGAACTCACTGTTCTTTGCTGTGTGAACATAGTTTGTACATTTGAGTTTGCATTTTGATTATTGTTGTGTATAGCTTCCTTTCACAGGAATTTATACTTTGTTAGTGAAAAGACTATGTATAAATTGCATTCAATGTACATGTGTTTCAAAACATGTTGTATATAATAAATATATACAATTTTGTCATTAGTAAGTTTGTTACTCTTTTGTAGTTACTAGCTAGACCTTTGTCTTTCAATGTGCCTTCAAATGAAACTGAAAGATGTATGTAAAGGCTCCTTTATAGTCTCATTGAAGTGAATTGTCTTGTTTTGGCTAAAAGGTTATCAGCTCCAAATGTGGCAATCTAGTTAAAGCTCCCTGTTAATTGAAATGGGAAATGCCATTATTCAAATAAGTTGGATTGCTGAGAGAGAGAGAGAGAGAGAGAGAGAGAGAGAGAGAGAGGAGGAAAATGACTATAGAAGTTTGAAAATATGATGCCCATGGGATCACACTTTAAAAAGTTTTGCTAGCAAAATAATATATGGTAAAGGGGACCTGTAACACAAATTCTAATTGGTCTTAATAATAAAAACTTGGAGTCAGGTATTAGGGGTGAAAGCTGAAGGATCAGAGAAGTAAAACAGCCAGCCACTGGAGAGTTCTGACCTCTACCAATGCTTGGACTGAAAGGGCGAGATTCTGTCTCTGAATCTTCAGACTGAATGCTGTCTCTGTGAAACCTCAGACTACATCTCATACTGCATCCCCAGACTGCATCTGAGCTCCCGTCTCCTCCCACCTTATATTCTCTCTCCACCCAGCCATATCACTCGTGTCTCTCTCTACCTCTCTTGTGCTGGGATTAAAGACGTGTGATCCCAAATGCTGAAATCACCTTTGCTTGGGCTCTGTTTCTGTTTTAGACAGATTCATGGCCTTGAACTCAAAGAGGTCCCTCTGTCTCTGTCTCCCGGATGCTGGGATTAAAGGTGTGTGCCACCACTGCCTGGCCTCTATTGCTAACCGGTGGCTTAGCTCTGCACTCTTAGGCAATCTTACTTGTTAGATTACAAACAAAATATCACTACAGGGACCCAGGAAGGGAGATGGCTTAGTTGGTGAAGTGTTTACCACTCAATTAGGAGAACGTGAGTTTGATTTCCAGAACCCACAAAAAAACAAGTTTCATGCACTTATTATCCCAGCACTAGGGAGGTGGAGATGGGCTTATCCTTGGGACTCACTGAGTACACAGCCTAGCCTACGCTGTCTCATAAAGCAAAGTGGGTGGTTCCTTAGGAATGACACCTGAGGTTGAACTCTGGCCGCTACATACACCAATTATTTGGTAAATAAAAACTACAGGAATTCACTGTAGTAAGGTTCCTATGCTAGCCCCTAATATACCCTGAATAAATAAAGACGGTGTCATTCATGTAAAAGTTGTGTATCACCAAGCTGAAACTCTCAGTTGATTTTTGACTTCCTGGGATATTAGGATTATAGCAATGACAGTGAAACCTCCCCCATACAGGTTAGTTTCATTTGGTATGATAATAAAGTTCCCTCTTGAGCCGGGCGGTGGTGGCGCACGCCTTTAATCCCGGCACTTGGGAGGCAGAGGCAGGCGGATCTTTGTGAGTTTGAGACCAGCCTGGTCTACAAGAGCTAGTTCCAGGACAGGCTCCAAAACCACAGAGAAACCCTGTCTCGAAAAGCTAAATAAATAAATAAATAAATAAAGTTCCCTCTTTCTTAATCTAAAAAAGATAACCTTCAAAAATCTGGTATTAACCAGTTAGTTATTTTTGTGTTCTAAACCTGATACTTCACAAGGAAAGTGACTTTAAGTTGACTGTAATGTGGTCTACCTTTTGTTTTGTTTTCTTTCTTTGGCCTTTTTATCTATTTGTTTTGGCATATAACACCAACCTTTTAAGCCAGACATGATGGTATACACTTATAATCTTAGCATTTAGGAGATAGAAGCAGGAGAATCTTGAATGCAAAGCCTGCCTGGTTTACATAGCAGGGCTTTTCAGTGATAAGGGGAGAGGGAGAAAAGAACAAACGACAAAACCTAGTAACTTCCAAATTCCTTGGAATTCTTATTTGTCTTATGGAATGAAATGCTGTTTGATTGTAGAATAGAAAATAAAGTCAATTAGGGTCTGTTAAACTGTATGTTGCAAGGCACTGGGGCTAATCTCCATCACTGAAAAGCAAAAACAGATTGTTCTAATTTTGTCCTTTGACAGATTTGGTGGCTGAGGAAGGGACCCAGAGACGCCTTGAACAACAAAACGAAGGCAAGGTATTACTGGCCTGGTTGAGAGTTGGGAGCCCCTTTCTTTTTAACAGAGCCCACAAGAATTTCCAGATAAGCTCCTCTTGGCCAGATTCTGTTCTTTTTGCATTGAGCCTAGGATTATTTTGGTTTGGGGGTACCACACTTAGTTTGCTTTGTGAGTGCTTGACTTAGTTTACAGTGGCAGCCACGTCCCTGGGAAAGACAAGTTTGTGGCCATGCTGTACTCAATGTAGACTATGCATTCTACACAAGTACTCACTCACCTGCTAACCCAGCTACACCTGCATCTCCTAAGCTGGAGTATTAAAGGTAGTGTGCGGTGAAGGTGGTACTACAGGGAGTGTGACACTTGCTCTTCATCTCTTTTCTTGTACATTCAACTACAAAAAAACCTTAGCCAAGTTGGATGAGAGGATCCCAAGCCACAGTGACAACTTGGGGGCACAATTCTAGCATTCAAAAACCATTAGACTGCATCCTGAGGTAGTGCTTATGTTTTGAATTTGGACTGTCTTCAAGTCACTTGTCAACAGAGAGTTATACCCCGGTGACTTCAAGACTGTCAGAAAAGGTGAGAGAGCTTCTGCCTAGATAGTATAATCCTGGTTGTGAGAAGATCAACAGCTCTGAGAGCAGTCTAGCCTGAGGTTACTGTGCTGTAAATCAACCATGCTACCTTGTTGGGAAAGGCAGTGATACTCTTATGTTCAAGAACCCCGGCTGTTTACCTGCAGTTGCTTTGAGGAACCTTTTCTAAATTCCTGAGCTGAAGAAATTGTGAGAGAATTAGTGGTTGTTATAAATTACTTTGTTAAATAGTGATATAAAACAAAAACTTAACTTTTTCTGAATCTGCGGCTGTGTACTGAGATTAGGTGACATACAGATGTCAATAATATATTTCTCAATAATATATTCCATGTTTCTAACATTTACTTTCTTTTGATCTTTCAACTTTGATATGTAAAACTTTTTTCTACTGTTCTTTACTGTGCTCATTTGAAAAGCTACTCCAACTGTAAGTATTTAAAGTATTGTTTTGTAACTGCAGCTGTCTTCCTGTGTATTGGGAAGAGTGCATATTATATCATGACATGAAGCTTACACATCATCTTTAGAAGGCCTTTTGCTCAGGGCCTTAATTGTGGTCACTATGATGTTTGACCTTTTATCAGTTTCTTAGGGTGATGGTTACCAAGTTTTCACAGAGTTTGCTCTTTATTTTGTTGGAAATTTATCAAGGTTCTAGAGGCTGGAAGTGTGAAATAAGTGTGGGCAGAGCCGTGCCTGGCTTGATGCTGTGTAACTCTAGTCACTGACCTTGTTATGCGGTGTTCTTCCTGTGTTAGTAGAGCATTCTTGAACTGCAGTTTTAAACTCTGGTTCCTTTTTCACTCATGCTTCATTTTTCTTAATGCTTGTGAAATACTAGAAATTATTGTTTAGAACAGGGCTTGGCAAACCATGGCTTGCAAGTGGTGACTTTCTGGTTTCTCTCCAGAGAGGGAGGGAGGGACAGAATGAGAGAGTGAGAAAATACCAATGAGAATAGAAGTATTTTCTTCTTTGTCCATTTGTTTACACAGTAACTGCCTCTACTAGTGAGCTTTGACTAATGTGTTTGTATATTGAATGCACAGAGGAGCCAGGATTTTTTAAAAGTTTTATTATAACGTAGTCCTGCCATTTTGTTTATTCTCTATAGCTGCTTAGTCCATGTTACATTACTATAATGAAATGCCTGAGACTGAATAATTTCATAAATATAATATTTATCATTCAAGTCTTAGTGCCAGCATATGTTTATAAGTGTTCCTTATCATTGCCAGGAAGCTTTCCAAAGTCACACGCAGTTTTACTGTACAAGTACTATTATGGTTTATCTCCCTTTCTGTGTTTAAAGTTTCAGAATAGTGGGGTTGAAGGACCTAAATGTATGCATTGTATCTACTAGAGTAGTCTGAGAGTAGCACCAGAGCTCTTACGAGTATTTGAGGGCTTGTGAATTACTGTCAGCCAGTAAGTGGTTTGTTTCTTCGAACCTTCAGATTCTTGATAAAGGTCTGGTTCTGCTAAAAATGATTAATTTCTTTCCCCAGACAAAGAAGTGAGTATATATGCATGTGCAGATTGCATTATTCTATCAATAAATAAATACCTTCTAGTCTTTAATGATATCTTTTCTGAGGCTTAACAATTACACTATAAATTTAATGATTACTTAAAAATCTGTTTATTAGTTCAAAAGTGTTTAGTGAGTACTAGTTTTGCCTGTATCATCCAGTGACTTAATTTGCTTGAAATTTTTCAAATATTTTCATTTATTTTGCCAGTAATTTGTATTCACTGGATTCAGTCTTTGATGAACAGAGTCCTGCTGACCATGCTAGTTGCTGGTGAATGAGCTATGACAGTAACACAAACAGTGGCTTGTGTCTTTTCACACTGTTAGAAGTGTGTTGAATGTGAACTTTGCAAGTCATGTAAATTTTATCAGTTTAACTTCACCAATATTCCTGGTGTCATTTGAAATTTCAACTCTTGGAGTTGTTAAACTATTTGTTATAGTTTGATGTTGATCACTAGTACAATATTAAAATTGCACATTACCAATCAAATAATATTCAATTTATAGACTGTTGTAAAAGGTTGAAGAATATAAAGGAGCCAAACAAGTGTAGATTGAATTCAGATGACCAGTATTCGACCCATGAACCGACTGATATAAAGGTGAATAGTGTCAATTGGAGCATTGTTATTGACCAGAGGAGTGTGCTGAGCTGAGTACAAGGACAGTCAGGAGTTCGTTGCCTGGTGATCTGGGCAGGGGCTGTAGGGCAGCATGCTTAGTCCTTGAGAAAGTGATGACTTGGTGTGCCGTGCTGCAGTCTTTGTCTCTTGTTTCTGCTTCATTCATTTCTGTCCAACATTTGCTGATTATTTACTTGCACAGAGAAATTGTTTTTCTTGCTCTAGTATGTCTTGGTAAGTTTAATGTGTCTGCTTCTCCTGATAATATGGTGGTAGTTGTTTATTTGTATTAATAATATACTGGGTTATTCACATTTACATTGGTACCTAAATGGAGAAACTTGGGACAAGGTGCAGCCAAGAAGCTGTGGCTGTGCAGTTTATTCATAGTCATAACTTGCTGTTTTTCAAGAGCATTTAAGTCAACTCATTTTCAAAATGACCCACAAGGAGTTTTCTTGATTACATGTAAAAATGTGTTTGAATTTATTACACTTGAGCAAGATCTCAGAGCTTCTTGTACCTTGATCTGTTTTCCTCCACTGTCCTGGGGTTTTTGTTACTAGTATTCCAAGGAATGAGTTTATCTACGTAAAGTCTTTAAGTAAGTCATGTTTGGTGGGATAGGAAAATGAATATTCTGATGTTAGGTATATGCTTACTTCTTGACCAAGTATGATGTATTTTCATTAAAATTGATTCTGACAATAATTAAATCCAGCTGGTGATTTTCTAACTCCATCTCTTAAGTTTGACAATGAATTTCTTTGTATTTTCTGTGGTTGGCTGTCTTTGAAAATGGTGCACAGGAGATCTTGGTAAAGTGAAATTACCTGAACCAATTAGCAGTTTTTACACGGCTGCATTTTGGCCTGTCAGCTTTGTATGTGGAACAATCTGAAGTTTTGAAGGATTACTCATATAGAATTAACTTTATTTCACATCCATCTCTTTATAAAGCAGGTTCTTGTCTGTTCGATGTGCTCAGTATATGGCAGGATGCCCTGACATAAAGGATATGTTTTTCCTACTGTAGTTAGAACTGAATAGGACCTTTAAGATCACCCACTCCAGAGTTTCCATTTCCTCTGAACTTCTGGTGTTGTGTGCTCAGTTATTTCCATGATTGATATGTTTACCTCTCTGAAAGGCATGTAAAATTTTTATGCTTTCTGTAACTGTGGAGTTTAGTTAAAAGACACGGGCTCAAATTTGATTCTGTTCATACATGTGTTCTTAGTGAATTTAGCAAAGAAAAAAGGAAAGAAATAAACCTTACTGGAAACTTATGGGAAATAATATCAGAAGGTATTACTCAATCCCTGACCCCAGCACATGGAATTGTGCTATCCATAGTCAAGGTGATTCTTCTTTTCTTTGCTTAAAACTCTGGAAATGTCCTACAGTCTCAGTTGGATGAGTGCTTCCTTAATCCTTTGTTTTTTATTCCAGTCAGTTTGAAAGTTGAAATTAGCCATCATAACATTATATTTAAAATTTTAATTTAGTTTTTTTTTTCAAAGATTTATCACAGGGCAAGGGGATTTGTTTTCTTGGCAATAAAAAAAATCTGCTTGTTTTTTAAGTGGTATTTTTTGTGCTTTTGTACTTACTTATTGGAAAACCCTGAGAGTTTAAAAAGTTAAAAATGAGGGACCTTAATTTTAATCACTTAACCAAGTTTCTAAAACTATTAACATATTACCTTTCCATTAATACTAGGATATTTGTTTGGTGAATATAGTTAAAAGAAGTTTACTTTGTATGTAAGTTGATATCCTGGTCATTCTCTATTCTTCATTTGTGGTCACTTTAGGCTCTGTTTACCTATAAGACCTGCATGTTCTTCTACAAATAAAAACGGGTTCAGATTAGTAGTAGCTTTAGCGTAAGTGGCAGAGTCTGGATTTGAATTATTAGTTAAGAATATGTCTTAAGGGGCTGGAGAGATGGCTCAGTGGTCAAGAGCACTGATTGCTTTTCCAAAGGTCCTGAGTTCAATTCCCAGCAACCACATGGTTGCTCACAACCATCTGTAAAGAGGTCTGGCACCCTCTTCTGGCCTTCAGGCATACAGACAGAATATTGTATACATACATACATACATACATACATAAATAATTTTATTTTAAAAAGAATATGTCTTAAGTAGCTTTGTGGTGAGTTTATCTTAATATAATTTTAAATGAAATTTTTTTTTAAAACAGCTGTTAAGAAACACTTTTGTCAAGTAAACCTCAGTGAATTCCTTGAAAGCAGTGGTAGTACTTGGTACTCAGTATTTTGTTAGACTTTTAATTTGTTTTTTTTTTTTCCAAACTTTTGAGTCAGAGAATACAATGTTACTTGGAGAAACTTGTAGTTGCTAGGGGTCTTCACCCTTTCCAGGAAGGAATGATAGTCCTGTGCCATTCTCAGGAGTGCAGTGCTGTAGCTGCTTACTCATAGACGATAGGGGCTTGTTAAACTCCTTCACTAATAATTCTTTGTTGGTTATTTCTTGGTTTTCTACCTTTATGTGAATTGCTGATTTTTAAAGATCTTTGTTCTTTTTTTGTAGTAATTATTTTGTAGATGCAGTATTTTTAAACCTTTTCTGACTTTGTTCTTTGATAGCTTCACACATGTAGAAAGGGTAATGTGTATAGAAAGGGCAGTGTGATTGCTGTAATTCCTTATCTCCTTTCTACCCCTATCCCTTTCATTTTTTTAAAGATCAATAGAGTTTAACAGGGTTTATCTATGACTATGACCCTATCCATCAGCACTTGATGAGTTTCTTAGTGGGGTACACAACTGAAGTCAAAACTGTCCCTTCCTCCGGAATCCATTCATAGCTAGGGAGGAATAAGGTCTTAGGGACTCCTTGATCTATGATTGACTGTTGATAGGCCCGATCTTCTTAAGACCTATTGCAGATAGTCATAGTTGTTGTGACATGATGACTACATTGGCTGTGGCATGCCTAGAAGACATTTCAGCAATCCTTCTTCCTGTCTTCAACTTCTTAAATTCTTATTGTCCCTTTTCCTTCAAAATTCCCGGGCTTGGAAGGAGTGGTATAAATGTCCTAAGCACTTAGCTGTCACTTACTCTTAGTACCTTGAGTAGTCATTGGTCTCTGCATACACTACTGTACATTGCAAAGAGAAGTTTTTCTGAGTCTTAGAATAGCATTTGTCTGGATATAAATGTAGGATATTTAGAGAATAGCTTGGTGCTGTAGTATATTAATTACCTAAACAACAATAGTAAGTGTCCCCTTTAGGGCCTAAGATCTCTATGGCCATGGAGTGTTAGATCAGGTTACAGTACCAGGTATGAATTCTCTGTTGTGGATTAGGCCTCAAATACAGTAAGAGAACAGTTGGTTATTCCCATAACAACCATGCACCATTGCATGGGTGAGCATATCTTGTGTGGCAGGTTGATATTGTAGATTGTAGGGTTCATGGCTAAGTAAGACTGTTGATGCCTTTACTCCTCCAGCAGACTTCATAGTACCTTCAGGCACAGTAAAAAGCTTCCTACCAGGGAAGAAACTTCCAACCTGTTCCAGCTTGATTCTTTACACCTTGCAACCAACGTATGTTGTCTTCAGCAATAGGATCTTATTAAGTAGTTCTGGTGGGTAACCAACAAGAGTGGCAAAGAGCCTGTATTGTTTGGGAGGCCTCCTTGACCAATATCTTGTTGGTATTTTTGTTAAGTTACCTTTGACTTTCAGGGTCATGACTATGTAGATTAAATATTCTTATAAATGGTTTGGAGAGCTGGGCGGTGGTGGCGCAAGCCTTTAATCCCAGCACTCGGGAGGCAGAGGCAGGTGGATCTGGGAGTTCGAGGCCAGCCTGGTCTACAAGAGCTAGTTCCGGGACAGGCACCAAAGCTACAGAGAAACCCTGTCTGAAAAACCAAAAAAAAAAAAAAAAATGGTTTGGTGAATATTTATAAATGGCTTAGAGGGTATTTATAAGATCTCAATGTTTTCTTGATGTTTTCATTATCTTACTTTGTAGTTGCTTTTGACTTTGATTTTGGAGATAGATCTTTTTCCCAAGAATTTTTCCTGAGATGTGGATTACTGGTTGAGAGCTTCTTGGAATATACTTCAAGGGTTTTTGTTTTTGTTTCCTTCCTGAAGATTCCCTGATTTCCCCACCTTCTTAAGGATGTTTGGTGTGCCCTAAAACTTAGCCTATTTTAGTTGTGTCCTAAGCACTCAGCTGTGATGCTCACTTCAAGTACATATAAATATTAAGGCTGGAGCCAATATTTATTCAGGAAATGATTCTGTCAGGAGTAATTCTGCTGTTCTGTGTGCATGTTTTTTGATTACCTTGATGACCTCATATTCTAGTCCAGCTTCTTGATCCCAAGTTTGGTGTTTTCTCCTGGATTTCAGTGGTGAGATGTTAAATACAGCTCTGACCTTAGAGTACTTTTCTTCTTCTGTCATGGTCTCTCTGTCAGTTCATTCTCATCTGTTCTAAGAAGTTATTCTGCTTTATTCCTCTCCCCCATTTTTGCTTATTCATGAAGTTTTTTGTTTCTAGATTTTAAAAAATATCTTTAATTGAAATAGAAATGACACCACTTTCCCCTCCATTTCTTCCCTCCAGCCTCTCCCAGCTACCCTCTCTCAAATGTCTCCCATGCCACACAACTCACAACTTGATAACCTCTTTTTCTTTGGTTGTATTTGTTTCGTACATTCATATATGTATGTATGTGTATGCAGAAATAAATGTAAACTGTTGAGTCCATTGTTGTTGGTTTTGTGTATATGGCTTCAAGGCTGAGCAATCTGCATTGGGCAACCAATAAGGGAGAGGCTAATTCTTCTTCCATCAGTAAGAAGTTGCCTGTAGTCCTTTGTCTAGGGGTGAGATCTCTAAATTTTCTCCTTTTCGTATTAACTTGTCCATTGATACTTCTATTATTTTGGTCTTGTTTATGTAGTCATTTCTAGGAGAGATTATTTCATGGCTTACTTACTGGTATTCTGGTTTTTAAAATCTTTTCATTCCCTTTCAGTGATGTTCCTTGAGCCATGCATGCAGGAGCTGTGATGTAAATATATCTGTTAGGCTTGGCTCCCTATGATTCGATCTCTGCATTGGGTGCAGTTGTTTTCTGTGATGCTCTGTATTTTCTGTAAAGAAAATCTCTTGAGGATTAGTTGCCATACTTGTCTAGGAAAGGTGATTTTTATAGAACCCTTATAAATTATGAGAACCTTGAACATAAACACATACATTTATTAGACTTTCCAGTTAAATGACTTAAGTAGTATTGAAGCTTTTTTCTTCTGATTGCATTGCATGTCTTCAGGCATGTGTTAATATTTCATGCTATGTATATGGATTTCTAAGTAGCATCGAGCTTGGATTTTAATATAGTGTAGTCTCATGTAGTAACATATTTTATAGATCTTCCTGTACTCACATCATACATCCCTTGTCCCTTTTCTTGTATATTTTTTCACCCTTTCTCTTTTTCTTTCTTTCCTTTTCTTTTCTTTACCCCCCCCCTTTTTTTTTTTTTTTTGCTTATTGTCATGAATGTGTAGAAGAAAGGATTTGGTGTTTTCTCTTCCTGTTTAGGTGTCTGATGACAGGTGACTGTGACACCTGGCAGTGTTATTCAAGTGTTATTTTAAGTCTGCTGACCTCCATTCAGAATTATAAATTTCTTTGGGAAGAGAGAACCATTATTCAGTTGTATTAAGATTTAACAGAGGTTTAACGAATATTTGCGTTCTTAATGTAATGTTTTAGAGATCTTTTAAATACAACTATACTAAAGAAACCTGGGGCCTGAAAAGGTGAGTGATTTTCTGAGGTGATCCAGGAAAGAACAAGGTCTTGAGAAGCTGCAGCCCATTCTTGCTTCCTCTGTACTATAATTGTCAATATTTAATTTTGATTTTTGCCAGTCTTTTAAAATACTAATGTGGAAACCAAGAGGTTTTAAATAAGATTGAGCATACATTCATTAAACTGTTTGTGTTGTCATGTTTCTCTCATAGTCAAAATGGTTTCAATCCCAGAATACTATGAAGGCAAGAATATCCTCCTCACAGGAGCTACTGGTTTCTTAGGGAAGGTGCTTCTGGAAAAGTTGCTGAGATCTTGTCCTAAGGTGAATTCAGTCTATGTTTTGGTGAGACAGAAAGCTGGACAGACACCGCAAGAGCGTGTGGAAGAAATCCTTAGTGGCAAGGTAAATGTGGAGGATGATAATTTGGAAGGGGACAGAGGTATATGCTTGTGTATGAAATTCGTGAAGCATTAAATTAGATACATAGTGTGTGTATATATATTTATTGTTTCAGTATCCCCACCCCCCATAAAGAAAACTGCGGAGAAATTGCTAAGTTCCTGCAGTATGGCAGTGGAGTAGAGTGAGGAGAAGAAAACAGCTTTCTTTTATGCTAGACCAAATTTTCTAATAAGGTCTAAACTACTGTTAGGATTGATATTTAAAGTATGCAACAACCAAACAAAACCACGCAATAGCCAAATCCAGTTATGTTTCTTTCTAAAATGTATGTTTTTTCATCCTGTACAAGAACTTGCTTTTACATTGAAATTTCTCTCACTTTTGTCCCCATCATTCACCTGTTTGCCTCCATGTTCTGTTGATCCTTCAGGTCTCTGATCAGTGTCATTTCCTCCAAGAACTTTCTGTAACTCCTAACTCCAGAGGATACCACATCCTCTTCTGGCCTCTGTGGTTACTGCACTCAGGTGTACAGATACATACACATATAATTAAACAGTCTTTAAAATCTTTTACAAGAGTCAAACAATTAACTGGCAGCATTGGAGGGTGAGGCTATCTTTGTCCAGATGTCTTCTATTTCTTAAGCCTGTTCTGAGGCATAAGGCAATCTGAGTAGCCAGCTCAAACTCTCTGAATCTCGACTTTATGTCTGGAAGGCAAGCAATCTTCTGTTCTGTGCCCCATGAAATTTAAAATAGCTGTCCTTGATGGGGAAAGAGTTTATAATAGATTTCGGGAAGTGGAAAACACTATCCTAGAATAAACATATTCCTATTTGATAGCTTTTTGACAGGTTGAGAGATGAAAATTCAGATTTTAGAGAGAAAATTATACCAATCAACAGTGAACTCACCCAACCTAAACTCGCTCTCAGTGAAGAAGATAAGGAGGTCATTATAGAATCTACCAATATCATATTCCACTGTGCAGCTACTGTAAGATTTAATGAAAATTTAAGGTAAGTACAGATACTTATTAACATTTGAATTACATATGTTACAGATATAATTTTAATTCGACTTTTTAGTGAGCTTGTTTTGAAAATGTTGTGAAACTGTCATATGTTAATAGTGACTGTCGGTATTTTATTGAAGTTAGTAAAATTCTTTTATAATCATTTTGAAAATAAAAGACAGCTAGTATATGCTGACTATAAAACCTTGCCATGACTTTATAAAATAGGACAGAGGTAACGGACTAGAAGAGAGCAGAGTGTACTTGATAAGAAGCGGGAAGAGTTACTCAGCTGTGTGGGTTACCTCTTTGTGAATTGTTGGACTCTTCTACCCCAGCAGTTGTTTGATTCCACTCTTCACTATGTATTTTAGAACATAATCAAAATTAAGTTCAGGTTTTGCATGCTAAGATAGAAGTGACTTTTGACACTTTGGCACTAAGCCATTGTTAAGACACAAGGTAACACCAGAAATTAAGTTTTAATTTGAAACCAAATTTGAACTTCAGGATACATCCTGCTTCTAGTTAAAAAAAAAAAAAAAAAAAAAAAAAAAAAACACCACAACCAGCGTTTTAAGTGATCAGTATTTTAAAAATAAAATAAAGGGCTTGAAAGATGGCTCAATGGTTAAGAGTATCGACTGCTTTTCCAGAGGAGCTGGGTTGATTTCCAACACCCACATGATGTCTTACAGCCATCTGTAGCTCATTACAGGGATTGACTGTCCTCATCTGGTGTCCATTCATACTGGACACATATGTGGTACACAGACATATAAGCAGGCAAAACATCCATACACATGCGCTAAAAATAAATAAATCTTTTTTAAAAAATAAATGAATATACACTTCAAATAATAGAATTTAATTCATAACACCATTATTTTTGATGGTGTGTCTAAAAGTACAATTTTATGTTAATTTTATTATATAGTCTTACACTAGTTTAAATGATAAAGCATTGTTTTGGGGGTTCAGAACTCTCTGTGAAACCCTTTTCTTTAAAATGTTCAAAAAGTTAAGCTCTAGGAATAAATCCTCATATTTTTCAAAAATAGAAGTGTTAACTATTACATGATTATATTGTGTGAAAGCATAATGCCAAGCGTTTGGGGTGTGTGAAGATACGATCACTGCCTCTTATAGTTCTGGGGTTGTGCTTTACAGTCTTCAAAACATGCTCGTTTGTTCCTTCTGTCATAACTTTACCCAGCTTGTCCTGGGCAAATCCATTTTATTCCTGAGGCAGCTGAGGCAACACTATAGAGAAAACGGAAAAAAATTTGAAGTAACACACTTTAGTTCTAGTCTTGACCTCATTGTTTATTAACTGAAGATTTTGGACAATTATTAACCTTCTTGAATTTGAGTTTGCTTATCTGTAAATTGGCACTTCTCAGAAGACTTTTTCTGATGGATTATTTTACCTCTCAACCACAGAGTATCAGTCTGTAAGCCATTGTTTATCACTCTCTTTTAATTCTTTTGTAAGCCAGCAGGTGAGACACTCAGGGACTGTCATGTGTTTAGAATCCAGAAGTAACAAAATAATATCATAATCAGTGTAGTATAATCTCACTTTATTAGATAGATATGCATCATGTATGTTAGGCATATATGTTTTTCTATATTGATGGTAATTGTTTTTAATTTTATGTGAATATTATTATTCCCACCATTAACATATGTTATTCTTCAAATAAAGACAAATAATATTGAAAATATATGTAAAGCAATACGTTCCATCTTAAAGAAATTTGTACCTTCATCAGTAAGAAAATTTCTTTTTATAATTAATTTTTTAAAATTTCACATGTGTACTGTATTTACATTATTTCCCTCTTGTTCTCCCACCAGCCCCTCCTCTATTATCCCTTTTGCTTCTCAAATTCATAGCCTCAGCAGAAGGGATAATAAATACATACGCACGTATATGAATAAGTACATAAAAAGAACTTACCAAGTCCATTTAGTGTTGCTCATATTGTATGTATTTTTAGGATTTATCGGTTTGTATTGGATAACCAGTTTGGGGCTCATTGCTGGGAAAGACCAATTTTCTCTCTTTCTTAGCTGTCATGATAGGACTCTTAGATTGCCCCCATGGCATGTTACCTGGTATTTTGTTCAGCCATATCACTGAGATTTCATGGGTACTTTCTTCTCATATATGGAAGGCATAATCTCATAGCTGACTTCCTGGTCCTCTCTTAGAATTTTTTTGCCCCTCTTTGGTGATGCTCCCTGAACCTTATGTGTAAGAGTTTGATCAGAGATTATCATTTGGGCCCTAAGCCCTGAAAATGCCTTTTTTTTAACATTTGAAATTTTTCTTTCCATGTATATTTGCATATAAATCTAACATTGTACTTTAAATAGTATTTTCAAGATTATAAATATAGTCTCTGATTTTTGTTTGAAACAGGCTATGGTATCCCAGGCTAACCTCAATATTATGCTCTTTCTGCCTCAGCTTCCCAAATGCTGGTATTACAGGCATATACTACTTTGCTTGTTTGTTACTGAATTTTAGTGGATGCTTTATTTTTCCTTAGAATTCATTACTATACAATGACCAGTCTAACATATTTCCCCTAATAGTTCATGCTTTAATTATTTTCTTATTATAATCAAAAGAAATCATTTACACAGGGACTAGTGTATAATACTAATATACTAGTTGTGGTATAGTTCTCATTGACTTAACGGGGGAAATTGGGTGTTTTTAAGGGGAATTTTATTTTTTTATTTTATTTATTTATTTATTTATTTATTTATTTATTTTGTTTTTCGAGATAGGGTTTCTCTGTGGTTTTGGAGCCTGTCCTAGAACTAGCTCTTTTTTTTTTTAATTTTAAATTTATTTATTTATTAAAGATTTCTGTCTCTTCCCAGCCACCGCCTCCCATTTCCCTCCCCCTCCCCTAATTAAGTCCCCCCCCCCAGCCCGAAAAGCAATCAGGGTTCCCTGTCCTGTGGGAAGTCCAAGGAACCCCCCACCTCCATCCAGGTCTAGTAAGTTGAGCATCCAAACTGCCTAGGCTCCCACAAAGCCAGTACGTGCAGTAGGATCAGAAACCCATTGCCATTGTTCTTGAGTTCTCAGTAGTCCTCATTGTCCGTTATGTTCAGAGAGTCCGGTTTTATCCCAGGCTTTTCCAGACCCAGGCCAGCTGGTCTTGGTGAGTTCCCAGACCAGGCTGGTCTTGAACTCACAGAGATCTGCCTGCCTCTGCCTCCCGAGTGCTGGGATTAAAGGCGTGTGCCACCACTGCCCGGCTAAGGGGAATTTTATTAACAGAAAACATTAATTAGGATAAAACACATCAAAGAAACCTTTACCAGAAAGATCACAGTATATTACTTTTGTATTCTCCTTGGATTTATCATTAATGATAAAGATTTTTTTTTCGAGACAGGGTTTCTCCGTAGCTTTTTGGTTCCTGTCCTGGAACTAGCTCTGTAGACCAGGCTGGCCTCGAACCCACAGAGATCCGCCTGCCTCTGCCTCCCGAGTGCTGGGATTAAAGGCGTGCGCCACCACCGCCCGGCAAAGATTTTTTTTATTATTACAATTTCTTACACTAGACAGACCATGTTGGAAAGTCTAGATAATTTATTGTTAACTATCCTTTTGTTAAGTCATGAATGTTTACTGTTCTAGTCCTAGTCTCTACATCATAACTATTTCTGTGAAGCAAATCTAGTGTATGTTGATGTCTAAATATTAGTAGAACATTAGATTTGGGCCAGATATTCAGAAATACTGGAAATAGCCTGTAATAGCCACCTAGGGGAAAACCAAGTATAACTATAATCATTACCATCTGTTAAGCCACAGATATCACATGGTATAATTGTTACTTCTGAGGGGATGCAGGAGGAGGAGAGTCACCATAACGTTGTGCCTAGTGCTTTGGGGTAGAACCAAGGTAAATTTGGATGTGCACCCTTTCATAAAGCCCTGGGGCATGTGCGAACTATGTTGATACAGGCCGAAATGCAGATAGTACTGAACACATCTGTTGAGTGCTGAGGAGGCAAAGTTCATTAGTTTTCAGACATGTTTTTCAAATATTGAACTGGGGAGAAATTGACAGGAATAAAGAGGTGAGAAAGGAGAAGAGGAGTAAGTAATTGTGTAAGTAGTTGGTTATTCACTAGGCGGGACAGTATCAGTTGTGTAGAGGGGAATATCAAGAGGCCAGAGGCTATCATGGGGTCAAAAACAGTCAGAAAAGAGGGAATAAACAGATTGTTTGGGGAAAAGGCATGGATTTCAGAAATGGAGCAGTTCTAGATGATGAGGCCCTAGGGGTGTGGAGTTGGTTTTCCAAAAGGAGTGGAAGTACAGATTAAGATAAAGGAATGGTACAGTCCTTAGACCTAAGGAAGGGCCAGTGGTGAATCCTGGTGCTTGTGTGGGCACTTTGTGGTGATAGCTTTTTTTTCTAGTTCTGTCTCTGGCCCTGTCTCTGCTGTGAACTTTTCATACATGCTCCTGTAGGGAAAGCTGCCTTTAATAAATATATTGTCTGCCTCTTTCCACCTCCAAAGAAAAGGGAAAAAAGAGAAAATAAAACTATAATAACTGGAAACATTTTAAAATGTAGATTTCTTGATTGTACTTGACCCTGCTTGTCTTAAGATTTATTATTTCATAAAGCGAAACATGAGAACTTTATTTCATTTTTTTTTTTTTTTTTTTTACTTTCTGGTCTAGCATGTAAGGGACTCAGTCTGAAGTTCAACAGAATAAAACTAGTGTCTCTATTGAGGTTAAAACTAGCCTTGCAGATATTGTTTTAGTATGTCTGCAGGTTTGGGCTCTCAGGTACCAATAGAGTGGAGAGACTCAAGGCACAGAAGTGTGCCTCCTGAGTTATTCCTCACTTCAGTGACCTAGAAACTGTCACTATCCTCAGGACAGTGCAACAGAATACCCCTTGTGTCCTTTTTTCAAAACATCTCTCTCCCTATCCCCATTGTTTTGTAAATGTGAAAGAAAATAATGCATTCTCAATGCTCTAGTGGATAGTATCCTCTCTGTGAAAGGTCTTTTGCTAGATTTCCATTTGAACAGATGTTTTTTTCTCCTTAGTTGAGATTTGGGAAGATCATAAGACCCCCCCCCCACCTTAGTTTCATTAAAAACATTTTTTTTTCCTCCATAGGATCTCAGATGTAATTAAAAGAAATAAAGTCTTAAGAGATCTTTATTTATTTAGATTTTCCCTTTTATGAGTTACTCCTTGTTTTTGGTGACCCAGAACTTCTTGTCCTGTCCTCAGGAGCTTGTAATAAAATATTCTCAGTATACCTCTTCTTAAACAATATCCTCCTTGTCCCCATTCTTTTTGAACAGATAGTTATCAAAGTATTGCTGTACAGTCAGATAGACTGAATTCTATCTGTGATGTATTTTTTCTTAAACACTGACAATATGAGCATTTTGCAGAGTGCTCAGTGCCATTTTCATTTTTATAAAAAACATTTCACACCTGATGTAATGTTTGTAATCCCAACATTCAAGAGGTGGAGGTAGGAGGATCAATACAGGTTCATCCTAGACAACATAGGGAGTTGGAGTTCCAGGCCAGCCCTGGGCTACATGGCCCTACCTTAAAAAGGCCTCCCCTCAAAGCTCATTGGATCTATGTTTAAGCATGCATTGTTTTTACATAGTTATTAATGTTAATTTAATAATTTCACCTTTTAAATTTAGCATAGAAATAACTTACATGTTTCTAATGTTTTTCATGGTTATACTTTTAGTCACTACATGATTCTGTAATATTGATACATAACAATTTATGTAATTTTCACTTGCCATAAAAAATGTTTTTCTTGTTTGAAAAATTAGGCTTTGGGTGACTTTTTGCTCTGAAATTTAGGTTACTAGATTAATAAATGCATACTTTTTGTAATTACTGGCACTTTGTCCTAGTTTCTTTTAGGTCAGTTGTATGAATTTGTAGTTGTAATAAGACTGTAATACTCTATGCCAGTTTTACACTCAGTAGTGTTGAGTATTTCAACCTGTCCCCGTCCCCCTACTTTTCTAGTCTGTTTGTTGGTGTATGTGCAGGTGAGTATACACATGTGTGTGGAAACCAAAGGACAAATTAAGGATAGGATTCCTTGGATGCTATTCACTGTTTTTACTTTATTCATTCATTCATTCATTTACTTGTTTGTTTATTTATTTGAGATTGGATGTGTCACTGATTTGGGACTCACTCTATGTTTATCATGCACAATGCATGTGGAATGACTAAAGTATTATGTTTATGACCTCACATAACTTTTCTTGTATTGAGAACGTTTTAAAAATGTTATGATTTTCATTTTCTGGTATGTTATTTTTTAGTTCAATTACTATGTTGTACAATAGACCTTTTGATGGACCATTAAAAAAATGCTACGAATCAAGTTGTATAGAAAAAAAACTTTCCACCATTTGCTTATCTTAATACTCACAGGCAGTTTTGAGATGGTGTTAAGAATAGCAGATACTAAATGCTTATAATGCTTACAAGTTATTTTTTTCATTTAGTCGTTTCCAGTTCTGGTGGGAGATTCTGTTACTGTTTCGTTTACAGGTGAGGAAGCTGAGGGTTGAGTGCTTGTGTAACTTAGCATTTTAGCTGACAAGGAGGCTGGCTATACCCGGGTCTGAGCCCAGCCTGATTCTATAGCTTTGTTCATAATCCTGTTTTACATCACAGTGTATGTTTTGTTTTTCAAATCCTATATTGGAGTTTATTTTATTATTGGAAGATTCATGCATAGTTATTAAAATTAATGTTCTTCATACTAAAATAAAACACACCAACCCAGAGCTAACAGAGAAATTGCAAATTACCGAAAAACATGTTTCTTTGTCTGTACTTACCTACTGAAATTCAGATTTGGTTTTTAAATACGTTAAAGGAAAAAAAAACATGGATTTCTAAGTTCTCATTGTCTCTTTCTTTTGCAGAGATGCTGTTCAGTTAAATGTGATCGCTACACGACAGCTTATTCTCCTTGCACAGCAAATGAAGAATCTGGAAGTGTTCATGCATGTGTCAACAGCGTACGCCTACTGCAATCGAAAGCATATCGATGAAGTAGTTTATCCTCCCCCTGTAGATCCCAAGAAGCTGATTGATTCTTTAGAGTATGTTTGAATTTATACACATTGCTTTTAGTCTTAAGATTTTGGATTCAAGTTTATCTTTTTTCCCTCTCTCTGTGCTATCTACACACATGTGCATGCATGTATTTATCTCTTCCTGTATTCAACACCTGCTTATTTTCTGCCCAGTACAGGGTTCTTTCTGTTGATGAGGTCATTGTAGAGTTTTCCCTTTGAGTCAGGTCATGATTGGAGGAAGGTCTCTGAATAATTTATCTCTGTGTTAGAAGCTTTGTTTTTTAGGTAGTCATTTCTAGCTCCTATGGAGACCAGAGACCAATGGCTGCTAACCCCAAGGTTCTAAAGAACTCCCTCTCCTGCATTGTACAATACATAAAAAGAGACTTTCTTTTTTAGGAGAACCAGAGGAATTCTAGTCCTTTAATTCATACTCCTAGTGTTACCATCTTTCTAAGGACAGGGATTCCTAGCAGCAATTCTTAAATGAACAATATTTGTATTTGATAAATGTAGAGGATTATGTGAAATGTATATAACACAACCTAGCCTTCAGTTGCTTTTTGGTCTGACTTTCTTACCATATGAAGAAGGTTTTTTTGGACTACAATTATAGAAGCATTCCAACAGCCATTACATCTTTACATATTTGTTTTCAAACAGTATCTCTATGGGCTTTTTTTCTTACAATTTTTCTTTTTTCTTGGTCCCATCTTTCCTCATAGATAATTCCATTTACTTTTGAGTCCCACCATCCCTGAAATAAGCACACGTGACCTTTTAAGAAAGGGTTTTCATGGAAATGGATTGTAAGAAAATCAATACCATAGATGACTGAGACATTTCTTGTGAGACTCAGTTTCATAGATGTTCCTAAATATATACCTCATTTCATTATAGATCAATAAAAGTGTTTGTGATTTTGGAGAAAAATGATGTTAATGAAGCTTATTACTTTTTGGCTTTTTAGTCTTGGCTTATACATGTATCTAAGGAAATGAGAAGACCTTGTAACCTAAATCTTTTTTCTCCTTTCCTGGCTTTCAAAGGAATCTGTCTAGTCTAGTAAATGATTTGTGAACTTGCTGTGTAAACTCAGTAGAAGTAAGGTTTAGTGGCCTGAGTCTTTCTTCAGCGTTTCTATTTGTTTGTTTGTTTGTTTGTTTTTAGGTAGGGCAGGGAACTTATTTTCCCATCTGTCAACTACCTATCCTACCCAGTTTTCAAAACTCAATCTCCGTTGTAGTTTTTTCTCAAACTGGATAGCTATTTGCCTGTAGTTTAATGTTCTTACTCTTCCACATACACACACTTCCATATGTGGGAGCATTTTAAGCTTCTCTAGTTATTTTTATCTTTAGATTGTAACAATATACAGAATCTATTTGAGTGCTTAGTAGACATAAAGGACAAGTTTCTAGAAACAAGGACATAGCACCTTAGAGAAAAATAAGGAAAGATCATTGACGTCACCTGTTTGGTCATGGTCCTTTTTACAGGTGATCTTCAGAGATGGTAAGGTCAGTTAAGAGATGACTGAATTGTAGGTTGTTAATTGAATTTTCATAACGGGCTTTAATATTTTTATTATTAATCATAGTATTTGTTAATCTTTCTTGAGGAGATACAATCCCAGTGATTCATCTTAAATATTTGGATTATTAGACATTTTATATTAAATGTGAATATATGTAAATAGCAAATGTGTATATTTAACCTGTTTCTCTATTAGATGGTAATACATATATATGTACTTTCTAATGAAACATTTGAGACACCTGATCTATTTTGGAATTTATTTGGACTTTGGAAAGGAACTCTGATTTAAGTACTATATAATAGCACTTAATTACTTCATTTTCGTTTCTGGTAGCATCCCCTATCAAAGACACACAAATATTGAATGTTTAAACTGCTTGATAATTTCTAAAGACCCTTAATTGGTTCAGGTCAGTTGAGTTTGCTATCTAAATATGATTTATGAAAGATCTGTTGGTTCTTATTTGATATAGGAGTTGGAGATAGTAGACCTATGTTTCATATTTAAAGACACTACCTTTTTTTCCCCGTTAGTAAAAGTTATTGTATGGCACATGCCTTTAATCCCAGCACTTGGAAGGCAGAAGCAGGCGAATTTCTGAGTTCAAGGTGAGCCTGGTTACAGAGCAAGTTTCAGGACATCCAGGGCTACACAGAGAAACCCTATTTAAAAAAAGAAAGAAAGAAGGAAAGAAAGAAAGAAAGAAAGAAAAGGGTTATTGTGCAACTGTTTAAATCAGGGCAACAGATAGGTTTGTGCAAAGTTCAGTTAAGTAGGTTTTTAATCTATGATAAAATATTTGGATTTTTTAATGTAATTTCTTTGTTTGCCAGATGGATGGATGATGGCCTAGTAAATGATATCACACCAAAATTGATAGGCGACAGACCTAATACATACATCTACACCAAGGCACTGGCAGAATATGTTGTACAACAAGAAGGAGCAAAGCTAAATGTTGCCATTGTAAGGCCATCGATTGTTGGTGCCAGTTGGAAAGAACCTTTTCCAGTAAGCTCTTTAAAGTTGTTAAGTAATTGGGATTTAGAGTTTTAAGTTCTAACTGTATAAAGAATAGGCATATGATTTAAAAGTTGTGTTATATGCTGAATGTGCTCTACTGTACAGAGCTAATGAGCATAGAAAGAGATATATTACTCACGCCTTTATCTCTAAGGTGCTTCTGAGTGTATGGAATGTAGAGTAACAGTTTTAATTTCTGGCCGAAAATCAAATCAAAAGTTCTGACATTGTGTCTTCAGTAAAGGAAACCACGATTTCATCTGTTTTCATTGCCAAAAGAAAGTTATGTAAAGTATATCTTTCTGTGTGTAGATTACAAAGCTAAGAAAAGCATAAGAGATTTCTTTGGTAACTTGCTACTACTAAGCAGGAAAAAAGGGGTGTTAGGATACTTTTAAATCCTTAAAATAAGAGAAGGCAGAAACAAACGCTAGAAAGTAAGCTGATTCGGAAAAAAAAAAAAAAAAGCCCAAGGTCTGTATAAATAGCAGTAAGTGATAGCCTGTCTTTTGTTGTTTTGATAATTATTCTGTTTTCTTCTGATTTACTAAGTTTAAGGAACACGTATTATTTTCTCTTAATCAAGATACTGTATTAATAAATAGTATAAAATCAAAGGTGTACGGGCTTAATTTAGGAAAAGCTATGGAAAGTATACAGTATTTTTTCCCCTTCGTGGAGATTTAGCAGAGGTAGATAATAATTTAAAAATACTTTGATTTAGTCATTTATTACACTAGAGGAAACTCTTGGGACATTTTTGGGTACTAAGACTACTATTTTTCATGGAATGTAGATCTTTCTTAGGCTTTGGGAGAAAACGACAAAGTGTGTTTGGAGTTAGCACTTTCAAATAATAAATCTACTTTGATAGTAGTTTTAACCTCTTTTTTTTTTTCCTTCAATTTTTGACATTAGGGATGGATTGATAACTTTAATGGACCAAGTGGTCTCTTCATTGCGGTAAATAAACTTTTTGATTTACTTCTTTGATTAAAAATTCCTGTATCTTTACACTTATGTCTATGTATATGTGTTTTGGCTATGTATCTGAATGTGTTGTTTTTAATTTCAAAAAAGGCTGGGAAAGGAATTCTTCGAACAATGCGTGCCTCCAACAATGCCCTTGCAGATCTTGTTCCTGTAGATGTAGTGGTCAACACAAGCCTTGCTGCAGCCTGGTATTCTGGAGTTAATAGGTATATGAGGCAACGATATTGCTTATTAACTGTGTGGTAACTGAGAGGGAAAAGGAGCTTAATCCCTTAGTCCTGATTGTGCCATGTTAGTAAAGTGTCCTATTAGAATATAGGAAATACCACTGTCTGTTCTAGTTGCTGAGCAGTGGAAGCAGTAACATGTGGAACCATCAGTGGTAAGAAAGAATGAATTCACAGATTTTACAGGTTTGTTAGGAACTAAAGAAAGTGTGTGTGTGTGTGTGTGGTGGGTGGGCGGGTGGGTGGGTGGGGGTCCTGAATGATGATTTAAGCCAAACTAAAATAGTATAAACAAGAGATGTTTTTTGTATGTCAACCATGGCACACTAGAGCAGCTGTAATAATCTCTGAGCATCCTTTTATGGTAATAATAGTATTTGTAACTAAAGCCTAAACATTTAAGAAATAATCCCTTAGGGTGCTTTTTGTATGATATAGAATAGGTACCCAGCATCATCATGTCTTCCTGCTTTGATAGTACATAAGACTTAAGATACTTTTGACTTCTCTTATGTTTCTTTGCTTTCATCTTTGTCTTTGCAGACCAAGAAACATCATGGTGTATAATTGCACAACAGGCAGCACTAATCCTTTCCACTGGGGGGAAGTTGGTATGATTTTATCTATGTTTTTGAATGTTAGAACGTAAAGCATTCACCGACTTTTTTAAATGAGGTATTGGGGTCACTGAGTTACAAAGTTATTCTTATTTTAGTTACTGTTTGAGAATAACTACCAATCCTGCCTTGTGGACACCTTCAATGTTTCACATAGCCTGATGTATGTCTCCATTCACCTAGTGAGACCCTAGCTGTTCTCTTGTCATCTGCAACACTCTCATAGACTACCTGTGGCTTGAATAAGTACACTCAGGTCTTATGTTGCCAGTCTGTAGGTAATATTTACACCTATAAGAGTAGGTTTATCAGTTGGTCCCCAGACTTTTAAGTGAAGGAGTTAGGAAGTAGGATACTTTTTGCCAGACTACATTCTACCAAAGTAAAAGATCTTTAACAAGTAGAACATTTGTTAACTAGCTCTAAAATAGGCTAGTAAAACTTGAAGACAATTGAAGGCAAACTCTTTTTAAATTGAGTCAGATAGAAATATTTATGACTTTCTTTTTAAAATCTTTTATTTCCAATTGAATTTTTGCTATTCTAAATAATTTTGTTTTTAAAGTAAATTGGTTCTGGGGATCAGTCTACCCCTTTCCTCACCCATCCACAGAGTCAAGCACTCTACCACTTCATTCCTGGCCCTTATTTCTGCTTTGCTTTGTTTTTTTTTCGAGATAAAAATCTCACTATGTAGCTCAAACTGAACTGGAATTTGCAATATAGTTCTGGCTGGCATCCAACTTTCTATCCTCCTGCCTCAGCCTCACAAGAGCTGACATTATAGTCATACACCACCACACCTAGCTACCTTAAAGCAGTCTTTCTTGATATTTGTACTAGGGTTTTTCTGTGCCATTTGTATTTAAATTTAAGGATTGACTGGAGTATGTAAGAAAAAAACTCTATAGTGATTTCACAATATTTTAAGTCATGGTCCTTCAGGGATATTGAAGCATCTTAAGTAAGTGAGGTTTTTATACACTTTGTTGTTTTGTACAGTTTTGTGAAAAATCAAATTCCATATTATACATTTCCATTAAAATATTAACATAGAAGATACCAAGTTTGATTGTGTTGATGTTGAATAACCTAAGTAAACTACAGCAGAGGTTATTTTGGGGTTGTTTTAAGCTTGTATGATGTGTCTTATTTTGAGTAAATCATTCATAAGCAAAGGATGATGATTTTCCTTTTCTTTTTTAAGTAAGTACAGTAATAAGAATCTGGAAAGAGGAACAGAAAGAAAGAAGCTATCGTGAGAGGTGAAATATAGAGAGTGACATTATAAAGTGGCCTAGGTAAAACATTAACAAGATTTTCAGGATGAATTTTAGTAAAAATTTATTCATTTAATTAAAATTCTGGCAGTTTTTAAACCCCTTGGAATCAGCAGTCTAATGCCCATTTCTCTTAGCTATGGAGAATAGAAAAACTTGTTTTTTAAATGAATGAACTCTGAATCTTTGGTAAAATATTTTGCATTGTGAAAACATGATTTTTTTTTTCAAAACTTCATTACATGGTTGTTATCAAAGCTGTTACACAACTTTTCTTCCTCAGAATACCATGTAATTTCCACTTTCAAGAGGAATCCTCTCGAACAGGCCTTCAGACGGCCCAATGTAAATCTAACCTCCAATCACCTTTTATATCAGTACTGGATTGCTGTAAGCCATAAGGCCCCAGCATTCCTGTATGATATCTACCTCAGGATGACTGGAAGAAGCCCAAGGTAATGGTGACTAGCTCTGTCTTATCTGTTCCTCTGACTGTTAAACAACCCGTGCTTAACACTGAAATGCTATTAATTCTTTATCTGTTCATGCTTATGATAAGGCTTAATGGCCTTTTGTGAATGAGAAGACTCTTGAATGTAAGACACTGTCAGAAAAGCAAAGGTAGTGCTGTAAGTCACTCTATTTGTTCTAAATTTTGGGTGATAAATTACTGTCATGTGTTGAAGTCTAGGTCTAACTTTAGGTTCTTTCTGAATAAAAAAAATATTCAAAATGCTTTAACGCTTATTTTTCCTACAGGAGATTATATAAATCATTTCTTCAGGATGAATCCTTTAAACCAAGTACTCAGGCACCCTAATATTAAGTTCTATACCAACAACCTAATACTCCATTATTGGAAGGGTGTCAGACATACAGTACCTGCATTATTGCACGATCTTGCACTCAGGTTGACAGGTCAGAAACCGTGGTAAGAAGAATAGCAGTAATACACTATGTATTGGTAAGGTGGTGGAAGCTTGCTGGAGAGACATCATGTCGCTAGCATGAGCTTACCTTTAGAATTACTAACCTGATTAAACACAATCACAATCAAGATGCCAGGACATTTCTTAGAAATTGGAGATGTTCAGATACCAAGAATGGATCTCATCTTATGGGGTCATTTATTCTCCAAACTCCCATTAATAGCAGGAAATGTCCTACCTCGTGATTGTCATTGTTATTATAAGCTGAAATTGAGTCCTTCGCTCTCCCTTAAAAACCTAGTGCTGAAGTTTCTACAAGGGATTCAGGGTCAAATATTTTGCTTTAAATTGATGGTTTAGTTTCATATGAAAAATATAGGATGATTCTAGAAAATTACTTGAAATATCTTAGCTATTATTCAGCTTATAATATGGTGATTACAGTTTTTGACTAATGTTCTAGTTTTAAAAAGTTGACAAACAGTAAACTTGCTCTTTTCTTATAGTTGTAATATCTTTTCTTTCTCCTTTCCTTTTTTTTCATTGAAACCCCACAAATAAAGTTCTCCTACTTACTGTCTTTACCACATAGTGAAATATACTACAAAATGTATATTTTTTAACTACATTGGCACCTTTAATTGGCAAATTTAAATATTTGTGTACAAAGAAGATGATGATTCCAGGACTTTCATCAGCTGCTGAAAAAATAAAAGTGAGGTATTTTCCAGTTATAGTGTCTCAGGATCTGAGTTACCTATAGGGAATTTTGGTAGATTGAATAGTTCAGAATGTTCATATATTCACCATTGAACTAAGGGGGGGGGGGGTGTTGAATAGATCAACTTGCAGAACAAACATATCAACTTTCCTAGAATGATTTGCAAATAGTTTTGCTTATGTTGGCATTTTTCATGGCTAAAACTCAGGTGAAATTAATGATTGATGGTAATGCATACACTTATATTAGTAAAGTTGCTATAAATTAGGGCAGAAAAGACAAAACTAGTCCCAAAAAGTAAAAGAGATTTAATGTACCATTTTGCCTGACAAAGAGAATGGGCTAATTCCCATTAATTAAAAGAATTTTTATTCTTTGAGAATTTCATACAAGAAGTCAATATATTTTGACCATATTCACCCCCAACTTTCTGTACCCACACTACTCCTCCTGACTTTTTATTTTCTTTCTTTCTTTTCTTTCTTTCTTTCTTTCTTTTTTTTTCTTTCTTTTTTTTTTTTTTTTTTTGAGACAGGGTTTCTCTGTGGCTTTGGAGCCTATTTTGGAACTAGTTCTTGTAGTAGACCAGGCTGGCCTCAAACTCACAGAGATCCACCTGCCTCTGCCTCCCGAGTGCTAGGATTAAAGGCTTGCGCCACCACCACCCAGCTATATTCTTTCTTTTAAAATGACCCACTGAGTCCAATTTATGCTACCTACATATTACACGGGTATGGGATGATACACTGGAGCATGTTGGACCTACCGAGGGTCACATGTGTGAAGAAAACTGACTGCCCCTCCACTGACTGCTGTCAGCTGTCAGCAGCTTCTCAGCTAGGGGTGGGAACACGTCAGATTCTACCCTGTCCCTGTTAGAATGTTGACTGGCTTTATCTTGCGTAGGTCTAGTGTAGGCAGTCATAGCTGGGAGCTCAATAAACTTAAAAATAATTATAATAAAAGGAAAAATCTATAGTTACTAAGCAATACAAAGAAGATTCTGCATTATAGCAAGTCATCTCAGATTTAGTAGTTAAAATAGTCGTTATTTCATTATCTTGTGTTCTTTTTCTCGTGGGATCAGGAATTTGCAGAGAAATCAGCTTCTGTGGTTTTAGTTTAAGACTTGTCATGTGATCAGATGGGACTGAAAAAACTGCAGTCTGATCAGGGGTTGTGGAGCTGGGTTAGCAAGGAGCCGGGTATTACTGCCTCTGTTCATCAGCATTATACTTTGTAGGACCTTTTCAAATCCTAATGGTTGCCTCTAAGAATTAACTTTTTTGCATGGTAGCTAAAGTGTTAGACTTTAAGTAAAGTGGAAGCTAGAAATCCTCCATTATCACTTCAGCCTTGTTTGTTCTTTGAAATAGCATTAGCCCATGCTAGCCTCAGATTGAAAGCCAGGACCATAGGCAAATGCCACCATGCCTGATTTGCTTTTATTCACAAGCAAGTCACAAACCCTCCTAGATGTAAGGAAAAGGGGTGCTCTGGAGAGCAGTGAGACCCTGGAAATGAGCAAGTGAGCAGAATAGAATGGCTTTCAGCTATTTTTGGAAAGTACAGCCTGTAACAGTTAACCCTCTGGCTAAGAGAATTCACATTTTTCTACCTTGAACAGTGCAGCTAATTCTTTCCTCCACAAATCCCTATGATATCAGCTGGAGGTTTTGCCATTTAAATCTGATCCAGTTACACATAAGATAGTTTAGAAATGACATTGCAGATTCCATGACAAAGCAAATTAGCAGCTGCCCATGTACTCTGTATATGTTAAGAGAAATATAAGGTAATGGCTTCAGACAGTGTTGTCAAAAAGAGAAAATGGGGAGGCATGAAGCAAACACTGTTCTATAACAGTTCTCAATTGCAGTCCAGGTATATGTTGACAACTAGACTCGTTTCTACATTCTGAAAATTCTTCACTTTTTTTCCATAAAAAATGACCCATGCAAGTTTGAACAGCCTACTCATTCTGTTTCCTGCCCATAAAAAGTTAGAATCCAGGACAGGGATTGGGAAATTTTTCTTTAAAGGGGCCATCTTGTATATATTTAGGCCTTGTAAGCAATTGTTTCTGTTACTACCAGTCTGCTCTGCTGTTAAAAGAAAGGAAAGTCATAGACATGTTTATAAATAATGAACATGATTGTTCAGTAATAGAATGGATTTGGTGTGTGGGCTCTTGTTTACTTACTTTTGTTACAGAAACAATTTCATTGGTATATATATATATATATATATATATATATACCATGTAGCTAAAAATTAGGAGTTTCCATTGTGTCTTTTCTAATCAGATAGATCAGAGCCTATCACAGATCTCTTTGAGACAGCCCTTCTTATGTCTCATTAGATTGCTATGGAATATTACCTATAGATACTAAATCTTTGCTTCTTACAACCTGCCATCCAAATAGTAGAGAATATAGTATCTGTCTTTACAATCTGGAGAGATTTTTGTTTGGTCTTTCTGTTTAAAAAAATTCCATGTTTGTGTAAGGGCACTCTAAATTCTTAAAGAATGTTATATCTCTACCCTGGATTTGATTTATATTCAGAAACTATCTTTTTCCCTTTTGTTTTTAAATAATTGATGGATACAACCTAGAATTTCTGAATTCTAGATTTAAAAATATCACTTTCTATACATTTGATTCGTTACTATTCACAGACTTAGTAATAGCCTAACAATGGGTTAGCATCTGTCTCCCACTATCCTGTCAGGTCTGTTGCTGCTTCTTACCCTCCTAATGGATTGCCTACTGTCTTCCTTTTAATACATTCTTAGTAAACTGGTTAGCTGGTGATTGCAAGGGTAGCTAGCATCAGTAGAGTGGTCCACTCAGTGCAAGAATCTTGAGAATTCCCAGCTTTCCCATGTGCTTCTCCCAGCTTGCTGTATGCAACAGTTTTTCTGTGCAGTAAACTATGCCAACTACTTTCTGGGGGAAACTGCAGCTCAGTTGTGCTTCCTCTACCTGGCACTGTTCTGCCATTATGAGCCTATGGCTCAGGACTTGTATGCTAGCACTTGTGAGCATGAATGACAGGCATGCAGTGCCATAAGAAAATTGTTTTTTAATGAATTCCTGATTAGCCTTTTACGTTTTCTCCAAATTTCATTCAGACACTTTACTTTCTAAGATCAGCTTGTCTTCATTCAAGAAATCTTGACTAGATTAAATTTTAGGAATATAGGTTTGGTTTTTGTTATCTTCATGTTACTGTAGCTTCAAGCTGTATAAAGCGACCTCTAATTTTCTTTCTATGGCCCTTTCAGATTTCAATAAATGATCTCAAAGGTCACAACAGAGTTTACCACCTAATTCTAAAATGCCACAAACCTCAACTTTGTATTATTGTGAGTCCTTCCCAGTACTAAGATGTCTTACTCTATTGCATGACAAGTCGTTATGTAACCATAGTGTCTCAAAGCAGGTTATTTTGTTTATGTGTCACAACTTCTGTGAATAAGGAATTCTGGAGAGGTTTGGATGAGTGGCTGTGGTTGAAGTAAGTCTGTAACATGAGGGCCAGGCTTGTTGGGGTTTCTGTGTATCTTTGTCCTGCCCAGTTCCCACAGCTCACATATCCCAAAGAAATTACACAGAGAGTCTGCATTAGATATAAACTGATTGGCCCATTAGCTCAGGCTTCTTATTAGCTCTGGTAACTTATATTAGCCCATTATTCTTATCTATGTTAGCCACATGGCTTGGTACCTTTTTCAGCGGGGCAGGTCACATTCTACTTCTTCTTTGGTCTCGGCAGGACTGGGGGAAGAGCTTCTTTCTTCCCAGAATACTCTTGTTCTCATTGCCCCACCTCTACTTCCTGTCTGGTTTTCCCACCTATACTTTCTGCCTGGCCAATCAGCATTTATTTAAAACATAATTGACAGAATACAAAATTGTCTTTAAGCTGTGATCAGACAGGAACCAGGACATATACACTAGAGTGAGTCATTAAGGGAGAGGAAGGGTGCAGAGTAGCTAGGCAGCTTTCGTCCTTTAGAATTAGACTCTTCGTGTGTTGTCTGCACATGGTCTGGTTTGAGATTCCTTGTAGCATGACAGCCTCAGGGGTCATTAGACAGGATTTAAGGTGACTGAAGTCTTCAAGGGTGAGTATGCAAAGAGCAAGACAGACTACTCTTAGCACCATTCTTACTTCTGAAGTGAACACCTCATTCTAATGTCTTCCCCTTGTGATAAGAAGTTAGTGTAGGTAACAGTGTAATTTACTTTGTAGGCTCTATCAAAGCAGGAATAATCTGAGACCTCTGTAAGTTTATAATATAAAAGCAGCAAGGAGTAGGGTATGGTGCTGCAGACTGTAATTTGAGTACTCAGGAAGCTGTGAAATAGGAGGATTTCCACTAGTTTGAGGCCAGCCTGGGGTACATAATTACATAGGCTAGCATAGAATGATTGAAACCCTGTCTCAGAAAAACAATTAAGTAAATAAAAGCAACAAGGGATATAAAAGTTTACTTAGGTGATGTACACGTTAACTTAAGTCTTATAGTTTATTCTTTAGATATTTGCCTAGTCAAGAGTAAGTGAACACTATGTTACACCTTCTGTAGACCCTAATATAATACCTCATTCTACATTAAACTAATGTAGAATTAATGTTTAATGAAATTCCATGTTCAGTTCATGGAATCCAGTTTACTCATTTACATGATTTTGAGTATCAGCTAGATAAAATCTGACTCATTGTATATTTTGAGATAATTATGTTCCATTTCTTGGTTAAAGGGGAAACCAGGTTACATGTAGAATCATCATTAATTATTCTACATTTAGCATTATGTCATTGTTGCAAATAGCATATTTTATAAAGTTACTTCATGTTTGTTGTTGTTCTGTTTAACTTCTCTGAACCTGACATTTTTCATCTACGTGATTCTCACCAGGAGACATTTGACAATATTTGGAGTTGGTCATCACAATGGGGAGTGGTGTGCTTTACCTCAGCCCCAGTATGCTGAGGCCATGGGTACTGCCAAGTATCTTAGTACATAGATACTTTTATTTGTGATAGCTAAGGTTGAGAAATCCTAGATTAGATGATTATTAAGATTTGGCCGTACTGTAAATTGTGATTAATTATATTTTATTGAGTCTATTTTAGAAGTTGTCATAGTAAAGAATAAATACATCCTCAACAGGTACCAGACAGTATAGTCACAGCATTCACTATGACATGTTGAACCAGAGCGATGGTACAGTTTCAAGTGTACTTCACTTTACCAATATCTTGATGATAATTGTCTGCAAATTTCTCATGTGTATGAATTTTCAACTCTTCTAACTTCTTCCCTCTGTTTCGTGGGTTTTTTGTTTGTTTTTGTTTTGTTTTGAGACAGGGTTGAGTTATAAACTAGTGTAGCTCCACATTCATGGCAGTTTTCCGGCCTCACCCTCCCAAGTGTGGGATTACAAGCATGCTTGAGCTACCATGCCTGGCTCCTCTCGGTTTTTTGTTTGTTTGTTTACTTTTAAATAAGAAATGTTCTTTGGATGACGGGATCAAGGGTTGATTTTAGGGCAGCTATTGTCACTTGAATGAATCCACACATGAGATTAGGCAAGAATGGACAGTTAAGGAGTCAGGAAGAAAAATGTTTTAGTAAAATACTCATTGGAAAATGATGTGAACTATGCATGTTTGGGATGAAATTAATGTATATTATAATTTTGTATATAATTATGTATATTATAAATATTGATTGTTCTAAATTTGTTATATCTTTAAAGAAAAAATTCTTTTAGAAAAATCTTATTCATTAAAGGAAAGTTCCCTAAGTTTTAGCTATATGTTTTTAAATCTTTATCTAGATATAACTTTGAATGTTTGATAATTCTTTACATGTTTAATGAAGAATTTATTTTAGAATTCCTTAGTAAATTAAGTAGTTTTTCTTTACATTATTCATAGTGCTTTATTTCCTTCAAGTATTTTATTCAAGGTTTCTTTCTAAATATAATAAATGTTATTATAGTTTCTTGGCTAATGGTACTATTTTTATTTTCTTTATCATTTCTTATATTCTGATTTTTCTGCCATATCCTCCATTTGTAAAGCTCCTAATTTGGTCTTTCTAAATTTCATATACTTTTAGCTAATCCTTTTTGTGGGAATGTAAATGTAATTTTTTTATTTCTACATGAACTATTTTCCTGTTTTTTTTTTGTTTTTTTTTTTGTTTTTTTTTTGGTGTGTGTGTGTAATTGATTCAGAAAGCTCTTTCTTAATTACTGCTCGGATTAGTACTTTGATATCAATGACTTATACAAGTGATAATAAATATATTGTCTGATAAGATTAAGGTTCCTTGCCCTTTAAAAGGAAACAAAGAATTATTATACTGGTTTGTTTCTCTGAGGAAAGACATGGGTGAGGCCTGAGCAATTAAGTATTTCAGAAAGTCCTTGGCATTAGTCATTGATTTCACAGCACATCCACATGATCAGAGGTGGTGCCAATCACTGCTGAAGAGAAAGTTGTATTTTTCTACTAGAGTAGACTAAATGGCAGAGGAATATTTCTGTTATCTGCTTCAGTGATGCTGAAGTGCTGGGATTATAACATAGTTGTAGAAACTGTGTTAAGGATTCTTATTAAGGACAGGTTTAGCTAAAAAGCAAAGGGAGTCTAAACTGAATCTTTTTGCCTTATGTGATACTTAGAAAATTTGAATTTAAACTTCAGTATTGCATATGCTTTGAGAATTAATTCTGTGTCAGCAGAATTTTGTGCAGGTGATAATAAATTTCCTTTGCTGCTACTTCCAATTTGTTTTTTCATTTTGGATTTATAATTTATGCTCCCAAGATGCAGAAATATTCTGATTCTCTGCTATTTTGGTACACTTACTGAATTACAGTTGGGAGTAAGTGGTTGGGACCGTGGTGATAATGGGATTTTTTTACCCAGTCTATATATGAACCTCTTGGTTTTTCTTGAAATACAGGATGATGAAAACAATCACCCGTCTTCACAAAGCCATGGTGTTTCTTGAGTATTTCACAAGTAACTCTTGGGTTTGGAATACTGATAATGTCAATATGTTAATGAACCAATTAAACCCTGAAGATAAAAAGGCAAGTATTTTCTGTTTTAGGTTAAAAATATGTAACCAGAAAACAGCCTGAAATCTAGGCATTTCCCACAACCAGTACATAAGTCAATCTAATTATATTTTTTCAGTATTTTAATTTTAATTACTTATAGAGAGATACAATTTGCAGTGTCTTAGAATTGATAAAGTATTTGGGAATATCAAAGGCTTTCAAAAGTACAAATGAGTTGTTAATCCTTTCTTCCCACAGGTTGAGTTCAGAGAGAACTTTAACATCTTTATAGATCTTATGTTCAGGATATCTTGCTTTCTCTGATTCTTTTTTTTGGTGGTGGGGGAGGGGCTCTAATTGTTTTTTCGTATTGTATGCTCTTTGCATTCTACTCTGCTTGTTTGAAAATTAAACTGTATTCCTTCTGAAGTTACCTCAGATTTTGTTTGTTTTGTCACATTATGTACCTCTGGCTGGCCTGGAACTTCCTATGTAGACCAGGCTGGCCTCAAACTCACAGAGATCCTCCTGCCTCTGCCACCTGAGTGCTAGATTAAAGGCCTGGGCCACTACTGCCCATCGGTCTCCTATATTTTAGTGTTTATATCTGTCTTAAATACATCCCATTACCTCCTGTTAGAAGTATAGCAGTGCTAGGGATTAAACCTAGGGCCTTATTCTCAGTCCCGTCCTTTTGGTGGTTAGAACCTTAGCACGGCCCTGACTGTATCTTCAGCTCGCCAGCCATGTGCTTACATCTTACTCTACTTCTCCAGTTCAAGCCCCACAGTTAGGAGACAGTTGCTCCATCTGTTTTCAGTTTTAGAGCTTCTCTTTATTATCATTTTCTTTCTGTCTGGTGTGTTGTGTAGGACACCAGAATATGGCGTAATTAGGAGACTGATCATAATGAAACTTTCAGATTTTGATTATCAGTCTTTATTCACCCTAGGTAGCTTTTTTTTTTAACACTATTTCAGCACATTAAAGATTATTTTATGTTCTATTCTGTTACAGTTGAAAAGTCAGTTATTTGTTTCTCCTTGTTCTTTTCCAGGTTTTTCACATATTTGGTGTTCTAAAACTTTGTTTAGGCTTTTTATATCTGTAGATGGGTGTCTTTCTGCAATTTGGGAAAATCGTTAAGCACTGTTTCTTCAGATGCTACTATTTCTCTCTGGTCTTTTATCCTCTCACAGAATGGTTTTGTGGTAGACCATGGTGCCCTTAGGCTTTTAATCCATTTGTTATTTTAACTAAAATGTAAATTATTTGTTTAAATTCTCCAACAGCCAGTCAGCAGTGTTGAAACTATTCCAGTTGAGTTTTTATACTTTTATTTTTACAAAGTTCAACTTAATCTTAGACATTTCTTCATAATTGCTTTAGACCCTTTCTCTACAAGTTCACATTTAAATGATCGGCAGTATCTGGTTCTGCTGTTGGAACCCAGTCTGACTCAGGCTACCTCACTTCCATGTTGTTGTTTTGCTAGTCATTGTTTGTTTTCCTATAATTCACATTCCTTGAGATGTCTGCTGAAATTTGCCTTTTCTATTTACACACACACACACACAAACACACACACACCATAACAGCTCCTAGATGAAGTCAAATCTCCTTCTTTGTTAGTGCCATGGTACTATCTTTCTATTGTAGTAATTTATTTGTAATGTTTTCCCTTCTAGAACTTGTTGTTTTGGGGTGATGGTTTATGGTGAATAATCTTGTCATTTCACAGAAATACTTGACTGCCTGTGTGCTCTAGAGTACTGAACAGTTAATAGCCCTCTTATTTGTGTGCTCTAGATCACTGAACAGTTAATAGCCCTCTTATTTGCCACAGAGTAGCATTTCTATAGTCTTCTTTTCTAGGTTTACCAACACTTTTCATCAGATGACAAAGTAACTGTTAATAAAATCCTAAGCCAACGTTCATGGCTAGCTTTTGCTTTTTATTGTTTATTTATTGTGTGTGTGGTAGTAGTTATTTGAGACAGGGTCTCGTGTAAGCACAGTGTCTTAGCCACTGTTCTGTTGCTGTAAAGAAGTACTGCTTGACACCATGACCAGGGCAACTCTTATAAAAGAAAGCGTTTAATTGGGATCTTGCTTAGTCTCAGAGGGCTAGTCCATTGTCATCATGTTGGGAGCATAGTGGCATACAGACAGGCTCTGATGAATACCTCCCGATTCTTGGGCAGAGGGGCTAGGCTTGGTATGGGCTTTTGAAACCTCAAAGGCTCCCCCAGTGATACTCTTCATTCAACAAGGCCACACTTCCTGATCCTTTCAAAGAATTCCATTTCCTGTTGATTAAACATTGAAATATGTGAGCCTATGGGGGCCATTTTCATTCAAATCCCACACACAAAGCCTGGTTTCAAACTGGTGACCCACCTGCCTACTGTGTGCTGGCGTATAGTGTGTGCTGGCGTGCTCTGCTTGATCATTCTTGATGTCAGAAATATTCTCTAGAAAAATTAATCTTTTTGCTGTAGAAAATATACAGAAGAGAGGGGAGGTTAAGATGAAAAGGAACTTGAATATATGTCAATTCCTTTGTGAAGTAGTGAAGAGCACAGAAATATGTTGACAGTAGAAAAAGTAATACTATAGTTAAGTGTTTTATAATCGTTTCATTTGAGATTGTACTTCAGATAAGCTGAATTTTTTGACAAATTACAAAAAAACTTTCACAGCAATAACTTTTTTTTCTTACCATAGACCTTTAATATTGATGTAAGGCAGCTACATTGGGCAGAATATATAGAGAATTACTGCATGGGAACTAAAAAATATGTATTGAATGAAGAGATGTCTGGCCTCCCTGCAGCTAGAAAGCATCTAAACAAGTAAGTTTGTCATGGGCTTGTTGAACATTTTCTCTTTCTTGTAAAATATTCCAGTTTGCTTTGGTGTAAGAGTATTCTGAATAAAAAATGATGTATTATATTTAGGAATAGTGCTTAACTTTGGATTTGTAACTATGTGGTATTTAAGATTATTAAAGGACTGGAGAGGTGGGTCAGTGGTTAAGAGAGCACCAGCTGCTTTTCCAGGGTCCCGGTGGATCACAACTATTACTCCAGTTCTGGAGGATCCCACCCACACCATCTTCTGGCTTCCATAGGCACTAGGCATACATGTGGTACCCAGACATACATGCAGGCAAAGTATCCATACACATAAATAAATAAAGATTATAAAACTTACTATCTTCATTTGTGTGTATTCCAGAGTATGAACTTTGGGTAAATTATTTTGAAAATCACTATTTACTTACCTTAAATTTCTATTGAAAAAGTAAAAGTACTAGCAGAAAATGAGAATATTGTTTGAACCAAAAGTTACTTATATTTTTTTTTATTTTTTAAACTTACAGCACAGAGTAATAGTGTTTTTACTCTTTTAGTAGAGGTAGTACATGCTGTTTTAAAACATAATAAATTCAGAAAACAGGAGTCAAAATCAGCTATAGTCCCATCATTCAGAGATTTAATTATTACTAAGGGTCATCTCATTATTATGTGTGTGTAGTGTGTGTGTGTGTGTGTGTGTGTGTGTGTGTGTGTGTGTGTGATTTCTAAGACTCCTACTGTTCACTTGCCAAGGCCATAATAGCACTATGGATTTTGCAAAATGCTGATTTTATTGATGAGGACACAGGTTTGCAAGATCATATTTTACTAACTTTAAGGAAATTAGAACATAGATGTTTTGACTACTTATTTAAAGCTGCTGTCACTACTTCTACACCTCATTGTTATACTACAGTCATGTCTTGGACTCCATGATTAAGTTATTGGAATTATAGTACCTGCCTGAAAGGTTAAATTTCTTCATGCAACCATGAAAAGCCCTCAAAAATGTTGAGAAACATAAACAAAGGAACATGCTTGCTGATCTTTGAGAGCAGAAAGGTTCTCTATGGAGCTACTGCCATCTTATTCTTAGATAAGGACTTATCAGTTGGGTTTTGGGACTGTTAGCTAGAAACTCAGACATGTATCTGTTTTACTTGCAGTTTTGCTTGCTGGCTTGGCTTCCTTCTCTTCCTCCGCCCCCTCCCTCTCTCCCTCTCCCCATCCAGGTTTCTCCCACCCCTCTTTCTTTATTTCTGACAGGACCTCATTCTGTAGCCCAGGCTGATCTCAAACTTAGGATCTTCCTGCTCAGATTCAGCCTCCCAAGTGCTAGGATACCCAGTTATGATACCACCATGCTTGTCTTAACCTGCAGTTTGTTGAAGCCTATCACAGGAATGGGTACAAAGCAATTGCTCAGTTTAATTGTTGTTTACTGAGTCTTTAGTCCAGGTACACTGACACGAAAAGACTTTGCTGTACTCCCTGTTGCTAGAGTAAGGCATTAGTATGCTGTTCAGGTATGCTGTTCAGGCAGGAAGGCATGTTTGAATTGTGTTAACTTTTAGTTTAGCTTTCAAATGTTGAAAGTTCAAAGATTGCTTAGAACTTTGATTAAAATTATAACTATTAATTAGCTGCTATCCAAAAATAATTTTATCCTAGAAAATATTTAGTGTGTCTTTTGATTTGCTTTCCAGGTTGCGGAATATCCGTTATGGTTTCAATACTATCCTTGTGATTCTTATCTGGCGCATTTTTATTGCAAGATCACAAATGGCAAGAAACATCTGGTACTTTGTGGTTAGTCTGTGTTACAAATTTCTGTCATACTTCCGAGCATCCAGCACTATGAGATACTGAAGACCAAGAATTTAGCATTAGAACATCTATGCATATGGTGATCTAAATGCACAAAATGTAAAATGTACCTAAGTCATCTCACCTTTTGTTAAGACATTAAACCATCTTAAGTTTGAGCGTGGAGTAAATTATGGTCCATTTTATGTAACATTTTAATGTTTATGCTGAAAATCTAGTGAACACACTGTGGTATGCCAGCTCAGATTTGCAATACCCACTCAAACTATGACTTATCATTTTGATCTTTGGAATGCAGAGGGTAGGAAGAGGAAAGAAGTGGGACTATGGGAACATTGACCAGTATAACTGTGCAGTTCTGGAACATACTAATTAAAACATGCCTTAACATGCAGTCCTAATATTCAGTGCAATGGGAAGTGTGCAGAGAGGAAGCCTAGCTAAATTAGTTAAGTATTTGATTTGATTCTTCAATGTTAGATTTTTTTTTGATCAGATGAGAGGTGGGTTTTAGTTTTGTTAAGACCACAGCCATGTATTTTTGCTTCCTATAAATTATAGGTGGTAGCATATATAAAAACTTGTTCTAACTTTCTGATTAAATGTGTGTTGCATATCATTTTCCTGCAAGTAATCAGTTGCTCTTAGGATCAGAAGGCCAAATATTATTCTAAAGACACTAACGGACCTAAGTGAACTTGAGAAACCGGATCAGTACATGCTCTGTGCATTTGAAGCAAAGTGAAACCATGCACAGTAAACCCGTGTTAGTATCAAATGTAACTCTAGTGAGATATGTTCTCATTTTGAAGAGGATTTCTTGAGACTTGATTGGAGATGGCATTGGGGAAGGATTTGTCACATGTGTTCTCTCCTCCCTTACAAATTTTCTCGCAGAATTCACCCCGTCTTGAACGTGCATTATTCTGAAGGAATGTAGTTACAGCTTTTAACATTAAGAAAATGTCCTCATGTGTTTACCAACACATACTAATTTTGACCTTGAAAGCTGAATTCCTTAAAAATAAATAATGCATAAGTATGTGTATAAAATTAAATAAAGGATTTTACCATGTAAAGTAGCAAACTTTTGAATGAGTATCAAGTCATCATTTCTTTGCATGTTGTTTTAGCTTTAGAAAGACATGCGTTATAGAAACAAGTAATAGCAAGAAAATTGATGTATATTTATTGATGCATTACAATTCCCTTTAAATCTTACTAGTTTGTTACTATTTTATCATATATTTTCTTTAATGACTTGTTCAGCACAACACTGTTATAATTAAGCTGATCAAGTACTACATTTAAATCATCCGCTGTGTATCTTGAAAGTGCTTAAAGGGGTCAGTTCACAGTACAAGAAATGAAATGTAACTTTACATTTTAATTTTTTGCCAGTTGAAATGCAGTGTAGAAGAAGTTTATTTTGCTATTGTGGAAAAGCAAAATGTAAAGAAACCAACTTTTTCCATGCAGTTGTATAGTCTTGAAAAGGAAAAAAAATGCTTCTATGTTGAAGCCAGACTTTGTGTAGTAAAACTTATAAACATAATTTTAAAAGAAGTATGTATGTAAATATCTATGTATTCTTTGGAATGATACTGAAGTCTCTGGTCTAGGACCATGCCTTGTTTAAGGTATGAGAGACCATGATAGTGTGTGAAAATGGAATAAATGATGCCTATAAGGTGGCCCACATACTATACATTGAATACTCCATGTCTCCAAACACATTTCCATGATGTAATGACAACACACTAACCTTTGTATGATTTTTGTACATCTGCCAAATATACCTAGAATCTGGTGAATTGTCTTTGGGTCTCAGAAAAGAATCAGGTGCAATGTGAGCAGGTCTGTAAAGTGGATCAACATGTGTCTTCTGTTTATTGCTCTTGTCATCTACTTTAAAGCAGTGCTGACTAGGGCTATGCTGAGGTTACAAATTAATTTTGTGTATTTAGAATCCTGTTCTCAAAAGAAAGGTAATGAATAAATGACACTCATTCTGGAATTTACAATTTTGAAATTAGTACGGAGAGATCGTCAGTCCTCACCAAGTATGCTTTGGAGTCAAGTCATATTTAAAGGATTTGTAAATGTATTTTGTTTGTTTGTAATTTGCTAGACAGCACTTTTAGTTCTGATTTTATTTTCCATAGAGATTATTCAATAGGACAACCTGTAAAATAAATTTATTTCATTCACCTTATTTGACAAAACCGTATTCTAAACCATTTGGGGGGTTTTTCACTAGCTTTCCTTCTCTGAACTCTGGCATACATATTTGTACACTGTAATGTCATTGTGACCATTTAACTGCCTTGGCAACGCTAATGTATCTTAAAGCTTAGTGCAGATAAGCATGAGCAGGTGGTATGTTGTTTGACTTAAGGGTGACATAGAATAAGCGTTCCTCCAGTCTGCCTGATGAAGCTTGGAAGCAGGAGGGGACTCTCCCCTCTCTCCTTTGTGTTTCTCTATAGGAACTGATTGGAAAATTTTGTTTTGTGTATTGTTTGTTTGTTGTTTTAAGTGTAAACCGATAATCTTTTATAAGAAGTAAATAGAAGCATTGGGTGCCTTTGTTTGTAAACCAAAAAGTAATAAATGAACCCTATATTTCTATTCTAGCATCTATTGTATTTTTACACTGTGGAAATCATCCATGAGTTACCGTGACTATGTAGTTCTAACCATTTCATCTTTCTTAGGTGCCCTCATTGATTCTCAGCATCTTTTATTTATGTCTGAGTTATTCACACAGTACTTTAGAGGAAGCATGTAGGCATAATAAACACTTAGTTAAAAATATTTTTATACAACAGTTAATAATGAAACAGATTTTGTTTTGTTTTGTTTTGTTCTTAATGTAAACAGAACCAAGAGACCACCAGCACATTTCTAGGGCAAATCACATCATGTTTATAGATTCTTCACCAGTAATTGATCTACTTTATTAAAAGGATTACTCATTTTCACAGAGATTGAGTGAACCACATGGGGGAGGATGAGAATGCATCAGGATAAGATTGCAGTGTAAATGGTTTTGTAAGCATGGCTTTCTAAGCCAGCTTCCAGCTCTGTCTTGAAACCGTTTGCACTGACTTGTTCTGCTTTGAAAAAAAAAAATCTAACTTTGCATGAGAAGCTTAGAGAAAAGGGTATATGCTGTGTAACTTACCATGGAAATGAGTTTCACAGTCTGTTTAAATGTATATGAAATATTTTCTTAATAAAGAAAATTTGAGCAACATTGTTTGATGTGCTCCTTTTGCAAGTTGATAAGTTCAAAATGCATTTACTTATAAAAGCTCCAAGTGGTATACAAGTTTAATAATTTTCCTGTTGTGCTCCAAGGAAGAAAGCTCTCATTCTGTGTGTGCTTGTGCAGGGCTAAAAACCATGCATTATAATATCTGTGAAGATTTCTCCAAAATCATTATATAAGCATTCTATTGAAATATTATCAATATATTTATCATAAGATAAATACGCTAATGACTTTGACATAGTAATACAATTTTATATGAATAAACCTTTTAAAAAAGGAAACATACATGTAAGCAGACAACTGAGGACAGTTTTATTTGATATAGTCATCCAGGGAGATCATGTATTTTAATTTGTCAGTGTTTAGTTTGATACTTAATACTCAGTTTGCTTTATGTTATATCTTTCTCAGCTTCTGTATTTCAACTTGGTTCTTGGTTTCATGAGAACAAACTCAGCCTTCATGCTGGACATTGTAAAGACTCTAGCTGACACTTTTTGGGTACTTAGTGTTTGTTAGGCATATGCTAAGCATTTCCATATGATGCTCTATTTATGCCTTATAACAAGCCCTCTGTTAAAGGCACCTCTGTTGTCCCTGTTTTATTTGGGTAACTGAGGCATATGACACATAATACTATCAGTGTCAGAGCCAGGACTTGAACTCATCCTAGCTCTGAAGCCCACAGTTTTGTTCAATATAACTATAGCTGGCCCTCCATATCCATGTCTCTGGATTCAACCCACCATAGCTTGAAAATAATTTTAAGTTACTTGCAAACATCTCTTCCATAAACGATATGGTATAGCTTTGGTCTTGTGCCCTTAATTGCTTGAGTGTGTTTCTCAGGTGATTTGTTATGTAAACCTATATGTATTTAAATCTAGATGATTAATCTATTCTATACTTAGGGCATATAATATATACTGTTAAACATGTGGCCTGCCATTTGAGGTGTTCTGTGCTGCATGACTGTTTACATAATTTTTATATCCTATTAAGAATAAGTAATCTAGAAGTACTTTTATGTGTACAGGCCAGTATGCAAACATTGTGCAACTTGTATAAAGGACTCGGGCATATCTGGAGATTTTGTATTTGAAATCACTGTTCAGAGAAAGTTCCTTGTCAGGTTGTACTCATGTTCATTTTTCCTTCCTAAAACTGTTATCCGACAAATACTGAATGCCTAGTATGCTTAGGTACTGTTTTATATGTCTTTATCACCAAATGATAAGCTTCAAAGTAATCCAGTCCTGAATGGCACACTATCATCCCTTAGGAGTTTTTTGATTGATAAAAGCAGGTTAATGTGTACCGCAGATAAGGACAAAATACAGCTGAGAGGAGGGAGCACTCACTGCTTTAAGAAAAATCTCATCGTAAGGTTGTGATTTGAACACCCAGCAGGAGGAGAGTGGTGGAGAGAGGTTTCCAGGCCTTTGGAAGGAGTTGTGTCTGGAAAAGTAATGTGAACCACAAGGATATTTATTTTAATTTTTGGTGCTAAAAAATGGCAAGGTAGTCAGGGAAAGTTAAAGCTGGGGAAGGAGGGAAAACGGAGGGCCGTTGTATGCTCAGAACTCACTGTTGTGAAATGCCTATCAGAAACTCTAAACACCAGAAGGTTTTGCTGGATCACACATATCCAAATAATAGATTTAAATAAATGAAAGTGTTCAAGAGAAAAGGCATTGATGTGGTGTCACTGTTTTTTCTTGCGAGTATAAGCCACACCTGTTGAAGCAAACCTTGATCTCAGTTTTCTCTGATTTCTCACAATGTAGTCTCCAGGTAGCATGGACATCTTACTGGAACACAGAAATACATTTTGAGTCAGGAGCCCTGGAGTTCAGCAATCTGTTTTTAAGAAGCACACCCCCCCCCCCCCCGTGTAATGCTGATGTCCAAAAAAACTGGATAGAATTGTTCTTGTCAGTCCTGTTGAGGTACAGTGTTCTAGGTTAAACCCACTGGGATTTCAAGAGAAGGTCAAGAAAAATCAAGATGATAGGATATGAACATACATAAAGGTCTAAAATGGCCTGAACTGAATGAAGAGGCCCAAATACTAGATGCTACTGCTATGTGGGGAGATGGGTAACCTAGCTTTTGTTCCTCTTTCAGATTTTCTTTGTTCTGCCATGAGCATGAGTCGTTTTTAAACCAAAGTTTCTGTTTTAAGTTACAGGTGAAGGCAAAGCATGAAGAAGAAAAAAATCAGTCAAGGTTAAAATGTGGTTTTGCTCCTTTAAAGGGCCAGGGTCTATTCATTCCAGATTGTTAGCTTGAGGAAGCATGTCTGGTTAGCTTGCCAGCCATGAAGAGTGCCTGTTTGCAGCCAGTCACAGATCTCACCCATGTTGACATTCTTATTTGTTAGTTAGTGAGCCTTGAGTTTATAGAATGGACTAGCCCAGAGGTGATATCTCTATGGTGAGAGCTAAGAAGGAATTTCTGGTCTTTAAAGCTGTGCGCCAGAGCCCCGTGCCATGGTAGTGTCTCACCACCATAGCAGGACACAGCCAGTTGAAAGTGTTGATAATCTAGTTTCAGCTGAGGAAATCTGAAATAAGGATTCTTTTTGTCTTGCCCTCTAATTAAAAACGGGGGGAAAAAATTAACATGCCCCATTATACGGAAAATCCCTGTTTGTGTTTCTTCTGCTCCATCTGTGAGTTCTCTCAGCAGGCAGACTTGCCTTTTAACCGATGAATTAAGATGCCCTTTTAGCAGTCTAAGTGTTTTATGTACAAGACTTTGCAGAGAAGTCTGAGAGGATATTACAAGTTCACACCAATAACCTTTGTTTTTAATCGAGACATGTTAATGACACAAATGGCGCGAGTTCGGGGGAGGAAAGATTTATTTGGCTTATATTTTCAGATCATAATCCATCACTGAGGCAAGTCAAGGCAGGATTTTGAAGCAGAAACCATGAAGGAGCACTGCTTGTTGGTTTACTCATAAGCCTATTCATAGTTAACTTTCTTAATATAGCCCAAGACCACCTGTCAGGGAATGGTGCTTCCCACAGTGGACTGGGCTCTCTTACATCAATGAACAGTCAGGACATTTCCCTACAGGCCAGTTTGTCTAGGCAATTAATTCCTCGTTCCAAGTGTTTCCACTTAACTGATTCCAGGTTGTGTCAAGTGACAAACTTGACAACAGTTGACAAGCTTCATTCAATAAACATTGATAGGCTATTTGTTATTCACTAATTTAAAAACTATTTTTAAATTCTTAGATTATAACAGTATCAAATGGGCTTTTCGTTTTGTCTTTTTATTTGTTGTTGATGAGACATTTAGCCAAAGAAATTTAGTAGTATAATAGATTAAGGACTCCTTTGATTCTTAGCTCAATAACGCCAAGGTGGTTGGGAAGGCACACAGCATCTGACAGCACAGTAGGGTGGTCTGTGCTCACACTGACCTGCCCTCGCATATGAAGGCATCACTAGGCCTGGACCACTGGACAGTAAAATGCTGTCCACTCAACGTTGCTCCTCAGTTTTCTCTTCCCATAGTTGTAGGATTATTTGAACTCCTACCATGTTAGCGGTTCCCTCTTACCTTGAATTTCAGAGACCCTCTCTACAAGCTCCTTGTTTAAATCCATGTTCTTATTAGTCTACCAGACCACCAGATTCTAGGTCATCACAGAACAAATAAGTTGGTTTCATAAGGAAACACCACTACTTGTATCCAGAAATCCTACTTAACATTGAAATGTGCTGATACAGCCTCATAAAGGCATCACAATAAAGGCCTCACAACGACCCCTTAAGAAGAAAAGTGGAAGTGTTTCTTGTGTCAGAAAAGAAATCAGTTTCTCCAGCAATAACTAGTATAGCAGGTAAATGCATACATGGAGGTTTATAAGAGCTCCACTGTGGAACATTTTTCTCAAGCTCAGGCATGGTACACCTAGCCGTCCCTCAGGCCTGTGCCTTACCTGTTTACCAGCCCTGCTGCCCTTGCTGTGTATTGCTTGGTTAGCCCTCCATCTGGTTTGTGTTCCCACCTCTCACTCGAAAGTTTCCTTACCATCTTGACTCCCAGGAGCATCTGGAATCCATTTCCCAGGCTGATCCCCCTTCTGGGAGATGAGAGAAGCTCACACGAATTTAAGGTTTGGGACATAACCACACGGATAGATTGAGGTCAACAGGGTGTCCATTGCTAACCTGTTGATTTGCTTCTACCTGTCAGTCTGTAAATTCTTTTCCTTTTTATGAGGTAACTCAGCAAATAAGAGTTGCCATCAGAGAAAAGGTTATGCTTAGTGAATTTCTTTTAAGTTGGTTTCTCTGACCTTACATTCTTCACCATATTGCCAGTGTTCTTGAACAGTTGAGTTGTAGACACTCCTGTCTTAAATGCTGCCCTCCCTGGATGAGACAGCTACAAACTGCACTATTCTTTGCCATATTCTCCCAAACCAATGCTCCATAGCTGACCGGTGACTGAAACAACCAGGAAATCACTTTAAACCTGACTGTTCTTTAGACCAGAGCTTCTAGTTAGTACTAATGAGAAGTCCAAGAGTCTGTGTGTTTTAAACTCTTGTGATTCTGATGATGAGCTCACAGGCTTGCGCTTCCCGGCCCTAATACAGTGCTTTTCAGCAGGACCATGTGGCAGGGAAGTGTCTGGGCCCCAACTGGGGCATCCTGGAAATGGGACCTGGGATTAGTATTTATAACAAGGCTTGTGCCTGGGGAAAACAAGAACCACCCAAGTCTTTTTGAAGAGTTGCCCTTACTACACTGGACCTGGGGGGTAAGAGGGGTAGGGAGATATCTATCATTTATGTTCCAAATGCAGACCACAGCAATGTGCAAAATTGCTGTTTAGCATTTTCCAGGAATTCCCATTGACCCTTCAGTAGAAAGTGCAATTGTTTGTAAATGAACCAGCTGCACCGCCTCTTAGTGACTACAGAATGGAAGTTCCTAGTTACTTCTAAAAAAACAAGCAAACCTGCTCTATAAGGACAAAGAAACCAAACTGCATAGTGGGAGCTCTAACAGACGTCTGCTTAGAATGTAGTAAGTGTTCAGTAACTCTTCCCTCAGGATCACACAGAATTTATTGGATTTGTGTATCCTAATTTGCATTTTCTACTGTACACTGATTTTTCCCATTTCCAGTGTTTTCTTGAACATTCCTCACCTCTAAGGAATATACATTTTGAGTGAAATATTAAAACTCAGTTCTCCTTCTCCTCCTAGTGTTCATAGCAGTTCATTGAGCACCCTTGCTTGTTGACTTTTCTGCAACTAACAGCCCTTGCCTCGAAGAGTTCCTTCAAAACAACCCCACCCGGGGCTGGAGAGATGGCTCAGAAGTTAAGAGCATTGCCTGTTCTTCCAAAGGTCCTGAGTTCAATTCCCAGCACCCACATGGTGGCTCTTAAAAACAACCCCACCCAACACAGCATTTCCATTAGCCTCACCCATTTCAGAACCAGCTGTCCCCGTGGATTCTGTTAGCCACTCCTTGAGACATCACACCCTGTGTTCTAGTTCAGTGATGTGTAGCCAGTCAACTGTTTGGCAAACAAGTTGGTCTTCCCTTTCCTAAGGGCCTGAGAGATTTTATCTGGTGAGTAGGGCTCCATTTGTGTTTCAGGAGTGTTTCCCCTTTCTTGCCTGCATTTGAAAGACAGACGCCTAAAATGTGGAAACTTTACTAATTGTACAAAACTTGACTCTTGTAACCGAACTTCACACGGCGTCAGCCTGATTGTCTATGCTGAAGGCACGGGCAGCCCGTGCCGTGTAATTAGCAAGAAGATCAAACTCCAGAAGCTAACTCCAAGCCAGCCGGAAAGGAGGGGAAGTCACCCCGCCAACACAAATTTAAGATAGAAAATGTTCCATTTTGAAGAAGGAGAGGGCGAAGAGAAAAACCTTTCCAGTTTGAACTAGATTCCTTCCTCAGAATCAGAAACGCTCGCTCACACCTGCATTTCAAAGCTGTTAGATCACATTCTTGCATTTGGGTCTGGCTATTCTTTGCTCTCCCCCCCCCCCCCCCCCCGCCCACACACACACACAGCATTTTCACTTAACGAATGAACAGTTTTCCACAGTAAGTTGCATTTTTTTTTTTTGATTTTTCGAGACAGGGTTTCTCCGTAGCTTTTGGTTCCTGTCCTGGAACTAGCTCTTGTAGACCAGGCTGGCCTCGAACTCACAGAGGTCCACCTGCCTCTGCCTCCCGAGTGCTGGGATTAAAGGCGTGCGCCACCACCGCCCGGCTTAAGTTGCATTTTTTAAACACTATTTTAGGTGTATTTTTTCCTGCATGTGTGTGTGTGTATGCACCACAGTACTTGCCTGGTGCCTTGAGGAGGCCAGAAGGTATGGGTTCCCCTGAACCTGAAGTTCAGATTATTTTGAGCTACCACGTAGATGCTGGGGATTAAATCCAAGACCTCTGGAAGAGCAGCCTGTGTTCCTGACTGCTGGCTGAGCCATCACTCCAACCCTACCAGTTTTTTTTTAATATTTATTTATTTATTTATTATGTATACAATATTCTGTCTGTGTGTATATCTGCAGGCCAGAAGAGGG